GAATCCACAGTAAATCACCAGACAGTTAATGAGACAAAGGGATTTTTACAAGTTTCTGTGGTATTTCCTGATGGTTTCTTACTCTTGGACCGCAGCTCCAAAGAGAACAATGACGACATGAAGAACTATGCAGCTGACACTGAAGAGGAAAGTGTACTTCAAGACTCCAGGTATCTTGCTGAATACTGTAGCCTTGTTGCTAGACTGAAGGGGGGGTCAAAAATAATATTTAGAACAAAAATGCTTTTGCGTTCAGTGCTGCTTGATTAAATTAATTTCTTGAGCAATGGTAAAACCACTTTCAACTTTTCTGAAACCTTTCACTTATCCTTTCGTCAATGTTATTCCCAATCTTTACAAATAAAATAGGCCTATTATTTATTTCAAAAATGGAGATAAGGTTGATTGGTATTAAACAATGTACCCTGCCCCCCCAGCAAAAAAAAAGTCTCAATTTTTAACATTAGGCCTACCATTGATTTTCTGAGGGGGTGTTTAAAATATGGTGACCTTATTTTATTTTGTTCTTTTATGTATGTGTTTCCTTTCCTTCCTCATTAAGAAACAGATAGATGAGAAAATTATGTTAACTGTACTTCACAACAAGATTATTTTCAGAGATTCGTCCATCTGTGAAAAAGTGTGGCAACTTACCCTGTACGTGACTGGGTCCGCATCTTTTTCCCGTAAAACAACACCGTACAAAAACGACTGAACAATTCCATAAACAATTGAGAAAGTTCTTATCGAATACACGGCATTATCTATCACATTTAATCGCCAGTCCACAGTCAACAGCACCACCACTGATGAACATAAGAATAAAAGGGAAAGAACCTGGCAGAAAATGGTGGACTTCAGCGATAATCGGGACACTTTAAGACGAAATGCGTTGTCTATGGAAGCTGCCATCTTGGAAGTTCATTAATTTTGGGCGGTAGGTGGCGCTATGTTAGGCAGTCATTCATTTGGTGCACAGCGTCTGCTTCTAGAATTGCACGGCACCGGCACTACCCCGATGTTATGCCTTACAGTTCTGGAAGTACATGTACACGTACACAGCGCCCATCCCTTTCTGAGTGGCCCATTTTATACCCCGATACGAAAGACTTCCTTGCTGTCGGAGAAAAGGTCTCAAAAAAAAAAAAGAATTTTAATCACTTCAACCGAGTCTGGAACACACACACACATAAAATGGGAACGAGACCGTAGACGAAATTGGTGAAGAAATTGGAGAATACTTTGTTTTCATTTTGTTAAATTTAATTTTGATAATAAGCGCGTGAGTGGCCTAACAATTTCATTCGATGGTGATTATCCGATTGTATAGGGCGAACCCCTCCACCCCTTTTACCAAAAAAAAAAAAATTAAAAAGAAGAAAAGAGGGAGGAACTTAGAAAAAAAGGGGTCATACTGCCTGAAATTGCACTTCGAAGCGCCTACTCAGAGTCCAAACTTTCCCGGGGCCCTTAAACGGACCCAGGGCCCACGCGTATAAGGGCTTCGCGCTCCTCATTCGCGGGTAGTTAACATTTTTACCATTGCTACTCAAGTTCAGTTTACGTTCCCCCCCCCCTGGAAAATCCTTGGATCACGCTACCCCCCCCCCGGGGCAATCCTAGTGGATTGGTAATATAATATAATTTATTGGTATAATGGAGTAGAAACGGTCAGATTTTGCCCCCTCTACCGAAAAAAAATTCCATCGACGAGTGTTTTTAAAGGTGGTAATTGTCAAAATTACTTGTGGCTAGTTTGTTGTCTGAATTTTCTATGTGAACAGGTATTAAACTGTCTAACATATTCCCGAAGACACAAATGATACGGCCCAACGACAAGGCTGTCAAAAGTGCAAGTCACGCATGTTTGCTTCACCGTCTAGGAGCGAGGTGCTTTAGATTTCAAACATTTTCACGCTCTCATATCTTGATTCCTAGTTATCCATCACGGAACAGATATAAACAGGGATACTTTTCTGGAGCCAATTACGGCATCTATGTTGTCTTACGTTCATTTTCCTACACCTGCGACCACCCCGGAGGTTCTGGTTTTTCTCAACTAATCTAGCAGGGAGCAAGAAGCAAGTTGCCTTGCCTCTAGAGATGTGTTAACCCCCCCCCATTTTATAAAGATTGGAAAGCTCCAACAATCGGGAAAAAGGCCACCTTTCCAGGGGTGAGGGGGAGGAATTTTTACGGACTGAAAAACGCTCCCGTTGTGTTTAGCAAGAAAAATCTCTGGACTGAAAACATGGATACACCCTTGTCTTGTCTTCTCTGCCAATTAAATCCTCAGGAAGAAACCACCCGCCTTTACAACCTCAGTGCACTGGGACAGAAACAACTTGAAAGTGTAACGACCAGTGTGTTTAAAAGTACATGTACACTATGTAGGCCTACAAGGCTACATGTAGTATGTTGCATGCACTACAGTCACCACAGTTGGTTCGCATGTTTATTCTTAAGCCTACCTGCTTTCGTCCAGTCTTTGGCACGGTTTTGGGGGAAATCGGATAAGCCTGCCTGAGGAAACTATTGCTCGGCCTACAGACGGTAAACACATTTCACAACCTTTGGAAAATAACTGCACAAATATCCCACCATATCTACGACGTGTGACGTCTCCGATCTTTTTCTACATCTACTACATAGGGAAACTTGTTCAGGGCCATGATATCACCAAACAGGGAAAGGGTGATCTCAAGCGAATCTGTCAAAACTTTACTCCCAGTGATGAGTTTACCAGCGGCATTTTGAATGCGTGAACTTTTTTTCCAAATGGAATGTCAACATGCAAGTCACGCATGTAGCCTGGACTTCACTTGCACACCATATTGAATTACCGACTACCAGGCTACAGTTATGACTAATGAATTCAGAAATATCACGTCGGTGCGGTAGTAATAATAGTGTTATTCCTACATGCGTGTACCTAACGGGGTACGCCTGAGACACCCCCCCCCCTCGCGCTGGGCTCTGTGCGCCGCCTCAGTTGACAATGCCCAGAGAGCCGTGTCAACAAAGCTTGGTGTTAAGCTCGCTTGACTGGTTATTCACAAAGACCAGTGACTCACAGTGTTGGCACACATTGTGCAGTGTTTTGAAAGTTTAAAAAATGCACCTTCAGGCTGACAGCGGTGAATGAAAGTGAGCGAATATAAACAGGCAGTATCCAACGGAATTTTAATACCGTATGATTCATAGGGTTATTCCACAGCAAGGTGTGTGACTTACACACTGCGTTCCGGAACCACAAAAATAGCCCAGTCGACCGTTCCGTGTTTGCCAGTGTGCGTTGCTTCGTTTTGAGCAGGAAGGTCATCTGTTCGACTATCATGCGTTGGTTGATGGAATTCAAAATGATGCGTAGCGTCAGAGTGGCTTCAAGTTTACTCCCAGCAAGTAATGCTCCTCCTGAGACGAACAAAAGCGATTGTGTTCTTGAACGACAGACAGTGTATGACGAGGACTGCACTGATCACCGACAGGAAGAAGAAATACTCGACACTATCCAAGAGGTTCCGGAGACTGAGACAGAAAATGACAGTTCGCCAAACGGAGAATCCTCTTCTGTCTCTCTGAAATCCTGTTCAGAACCATCATCACAAGTATGTAATGAAGAACGAACTCTTTCAACCGAGTGCAATACAGAATCCAGTCCAACAAACCCGTCTCACCTCCCACCCTCAACTTCTGCTCCCCTAGTCTCCAAGACCACTGACCACGAGGATGCCTTGTCAGCGGACGAAGGCATCCAAACCTCTCCGCCGTTCGAGACGGACGACCCGTGGGATCAAGAGTCGGGACAGCACGAGATCACCATGACGCCTACAAAGAGGAGGTATTCGATGTCTGCCGTCATCCCACGATCACCAAGGTGCCTGGATGGTCAAGAAGACGACGGGGGAACTAGCGTGACACTCCGCTCTCCTACAAAGTCCTGGCTCGCTGAGGAGGTGAAAGCGCGGAGATGGAGATACCGTAAGATAATACCGACAGATTTCTTGGTATATAGATTGTTTGTTTATGAATCTGTCGATTGGTTTTTAGGTAAGCTAAAATTGGTCGGTTGAATAAGCAGTTTATTTCTGGTTTGTGTGTAACATCTTGCACATGTATATTACAGTTTTCTGTGAGCGTTATTTTACGACTTCTTTCATGAACTAATTGGTTTGAAAGTTTAACTTTTTGTTGGTGGGACGTTCCACGTCCAAATCCATTACCCTTTACCTATCTGATTGTTTCAACTTTCATTCATTTCTTTGTCGTGTTTTCACTGGAATTTGTTAATAGTACCCGTTTGTTTGTTTGTTGGTTGGTTGGTTGGTCGGTCGGTTGTTGTTGTTGTTGTTTTTTTTTGTTTTGTTTTGAGTTCGGGCCGGGAGGTTTGAGTGAGGTGGTGGTGCGTTGGTAATTCATCAAACGCTCACTGGCCTACTGTACTGACTTATACATGTAGTAATGCGAACTGTAAATGTACAAGTCAGTGATTATCAAATAAATAAATATCAACTATGTATAATATAAATCTCAAACTAACCTTATATAATTACATGTATATACCTCCTAACCTAAATGAAATACCTAATTATCTTTGGTGTGCCTGGACTCCGTTCCTTTTTTGTCGCTCAGAAAGCTTTTGAAATGTACTCCACTGGACGTGTGTACAGACTTTGGCCCACTCTGACTATACTATAGGTTAAAAGTTCGCTGATACAACTTTATGTGCTGACGGGACTCTTGAATCTTGATCCCTCGAATGCTCTCCCGTGGTTGATTGAGTCCAGATAAGCCATCTGTCGTAGTTTTTAAATGACACTTAATCACAGACGGAAATGAGGCCTATACGCTCGCGGAAATGTTATTCTTCGAACTTTTTTGCGACTAGGAATCATGCAATTATTTGCATCTAACGTGAACACGTGTTGATTCGGATGATCCGATGTTCCGTTAATTTCGATAATTTGTACCAGAATTCCTATGCAAATTTAACTTCAAATCGGAGGGCGGCGTCTTAATTGTATTGATTTATTTGTGATATGAATATACATAACAGACTGGATCTTCTTGATTTAGCCTGGTTATTGCCAAATACACGTCTTCTTCCAAGGTCAAAGCAGCAATAATAACATTGAATTCCATGTAAGGGGCCTACCTGGGGCTGGGAGGTTCCCTTGGGTTCACTAGTCCTAGCCATGAAATAGGGCACTTACTAATTCACCATAATATGCTGTAACCTGCCTAGGCCCTATGACGCATGAGTCATTTTGCCAGGCACTTCCTTCAACAAGCTGTTACCATTTAGAGCCCAGTTTGACAGCTCTAGGGTGTCTATAGGCAGGCATCGGTTAGATGCAATGTTGGTACGTGTATTATTACTAAAAATTGTAAGACTGGCGGGGTAGTGTGACTTCTTGCTGCCCTTATTGTTAGCTAGAATAGTCAGGTCGGCGACAAAATGCCGACCACATGTAACGCGTGCCTTCTAGGTCAAGGATAGATAATCCTTCAAACAGGTGATTGAATTCAATCCGTGGCCCCCTTGATACCGATTTAAATTAGATTGTAACATGAGGTGATTTGTAAGTGACAAATGCAAGTGAGATATTTCATGCAAATATCTGGTTTTGATTGGGATAAAAAAAACATACACCCCAATTCACTGCTCTTTAGAATAGTCGCACGTGTTGCTGGTTTGACTTTGTCTCCCGTCACCCTGAGACGTTGAACACTTTCTTTTTACAATACCATTGTTTATTGGAAACTAATCTTCCAAAGCAGAAATGGCCGGGAATTGTAACAATGATTGACTGAAAAAAATAAGGGGAAAATTGCAGATGAAATTTTAAATTTGAGTTGTTGTTGTTGTTTTCGAATTAGAGGCACCTTGACTTTCCAACATTTCTGAGTCGTTTTTTTTTTTTTTTGAAGGAGGGAGAAAGACAAAAACCGAGGATTAAAAAGGTCACACTTAATTTTCGCCGTTATTTAGGCCTACGTAATATTTACAAGGTTTTCTCGATATATTGCAGGTCCCAAGAGTTGCTCCTTACCGCATATGGACTGGCTGAAGCAACGAACGGAGACAGCCCTGGACAGGAGTGCAGAGATGCAGAGACGGACGGCAGAACTCTTACGGAACGCTGAGAGCGTGCGCAACCAAGAAGTGTGAAAGAAAAGAGCGATGTCCGCATGTAGAAAACGGGAGGGATCGAACACGGGTTCATTGTTGTGCCGATCTGGGAACACTGTCAATGATCGCAGAGATCGTGCATCGACAATATTATCATGGTCTTAAAATACCACTGTGAAATGTTATTACAAGCACATCGGCTAAAACTAATGTTGGTTTTCAAGCAAATTAGGTCTAGCCCACATGAAACTTACATGAGCTGCAAGTATTTTAATTTCAAGCTCTTAGCCACCTATTGCGGAACAGCTCGGAAAGAAATTAGAAAGAAACTTGTTCGTATTCCCTTTTATGACTTTTCTGTGGTGTGAAGCTATTTTTGTAAAAAACAATTTACTGGCTTTTAGGAGAAATGAAATATACACAATAAGTGCCTTTCTCTCATTACTTGAAATAACAACATTTCTGCCTTTTTTTTGGGGGGGCATGATCACCCCCCCCCTCAGCTCTTGTATATCCATGAAAAGAAATAATTATAGTCTTTACCTACATCACACGTCATAAGTAACACGACCATTGACACAGCATCGAATTGGGCTTCGGCACTCCTATTCTCAACTGTGTGTCATTTCTCCTGGCATCTGCAGTGATCATGGTTTCTTTGAAGATATGTTGGTCGTACATTTTTACTTGTGCCCTGCAAATCAAGGTACAACTCACCACAAGCCTTGTATATATGTAAACGCAGACAGGCCATTATTGAAATCTTTAAAGCCAGGCTTGATTTTTCCCAGCTGTTAAAACATTATAACACAACACTGATATTGTAAGGTCAGAATAAATGCATTCGGGTTTTCTGTTTTTAATTAGTCAAGGGCGGGACAAAACAAGGTAGCAGCGTCCTCGGTGCACCTTTGCATTAACTTTGCATTAAGCAGCTACTCAGAAACAATTTTCTGAACAAATTAAATGGCTCTGTCCATACAAAACAACCTCCATTTAAGACACTTAATATCTTAACTCTTAATGATTAAAAATAAAATCCTAATGGGGGCGGCCCCCCATCCGGGCTTGTGTTTAATAAGTTGCCAAGTTGCAAAAAGGCACTTCGTTATGCAAGTACAACATGTTTGAGGGAATTTATTTAAGAAAGACGAAAACTTGACTTTAGTTGTGTTCACCAACCGCACTGTGTATAAGTTCTCTGTGAAGGTCTCAAAAGATTTTTAAAATTCACCAACTCACATGGTATCAAGGGAAATTCAAAAAGCCGTCTCAGACTCTGCGTATTGGTGCATTTAAACAAATAGCTTTAATTGAATTGCAATAAATGCCAGTCATTTTGTTGTATTACGCAATAAACTATTTTTGGACAAAGGCTTAACGATATATGTCTTCACCCCCCCCCCCGAAGGCCTTACCGAGGACATCATATTCACCAAGTGCTCTTTTTTTTTCCAAAGGGGACAATTATTTAGTACACCAGAATCCAGGGACGTGACGATTGAGAATTAAACTAATTCAATTGAAAGAGATGGGACGATTAAATGTACATGTATATCGAAATGTTTTTACATCTACACGCATAGTTTTGCAATACGAGTTCAACTTCCGAGTCGTTTATGGAAATTGCTGTGGTTTCTTTGGGCGAAAAGTCAGCATTCACACAACTGAGAAATCTAGGCATTTTTAACGGACAGAATAATGTATTTGCCAACCCACTCAAGTTTTACCTGTGTAGTGGGCAATTGCGTAAAATTTGTGGCGCCTCTTGCCGACAAGTGTAAGGCCGATCCTTCAAGTTGTGTTCGTACATGTAACTGATATTTTCTGACAAAACTTGAGGTATTTTTTCTTACACTTACTCATCCAGTGAAAATTTGTTTTGTAGCTCATGCAGAACAATACAAAGTTAACAATCTACGTGTATGCCCATATAATCATCTGTGCTTTTGAATCACGTTTACGCCATCGATCTCTGCTCCCCATTCTGCATTTGTTTCTCGTTCTATGGATATCCCTCACCTAAAGTTGGCATAAAACAAGTGGGTTTATTCCTTATGTTTTTTTAATCCATTATTCATTATCATTTTTATTTTCAAGGTTCGTGGTTTATTCATTGTCAACAGTAACATAATAATAGAAAAAGTAAAAAACTGACAATATAGCTTTTAATAATCGCCAACATTTTTGAATCCACACTTCGTTTTCCCTAATCCCGCCTTCGTCTCTGTTCGGTTTCCGCGCGAGTTAATGTACAGTACATGCAGTTGGGAAAGCCCACTGTTACCTGAGGTTGGCGGCCTCGCAGTGAGATATTGAGGGCGCCGTGATATTTTAGTAGTGAGTCTGGCGCACAAGTTGTCACCATCTGTCATTTTAAACGTTTACAATCAATATATTGAAGTTAGGCAGTCTGGAACCCAAACTTACATACACGTCAACATGGCGGCCACCAACAGTACAGTCCGAGACAAGCAGATTGGTAATTTTTGATTTTGTTGTTGAACTTATTTCAGATCTCTTTCTGTAACACTTGTGTCTATTTTTAGTTTGTTAACTTGTCATATTATGTGTGATAATTCAACAAATTGCTCTGAACATCCCCAACTAAATGTGTCAAAAGACATGTTCTGTATGTGCATTAGCCCCGCTACTGCACTAGTGTGGCACGGACTCTCACTCCCGATCCATCCTTAGCCACACATCCGTATGCGCAATTTCTTGTCAGCGTACTGAACATTTTCGGTTTCGAGTCAACTCGGACCCAAACCAACTCGGACCCATGCCAACTCGGACCCATGCCAACTCGGACCCAATACTAACCTGGACCCACGAGCAACTCGGACCCACAACCAACTACAACTAGGACCCAATACTAACTCGGACCTACGACCAACTCGGACCCACCCTGAGTCAACTCGGACCCAACACAAATCAAATTATTTTAAAATAAAATGTGGAATATTTCCTATTGTCGTCGTGTGTCTGCCGGCGAGCTCATTATTAATATTTTGTGATCCCACTTTTTTGTACAATAAGAGGAGCCATAATCTCGAGGGATCATAGAATTGTTTATATAAATCCCGAATTTGCGATTGATAGTTTCCTGTTCAGAGTATTTTTTCACAAAAATTCCACATTGCGGGCCTTTTTTGGATAGAGGCAGGTGGCTACATTCAGAGCTGAGCGCATAATTTTACTACTATTAGGGGGGTATCTTCGGGAAAAGGCGAATTAAAAAAGTTCATCAAATTGAAATGAAAAGTGATCAATCTGGCCATAATACTGAATTTCCAGCAAAGAAAAATAATCTTGAATTTCCAGTGAAAAAAATAAAGGTCTCTTCGCGAGGTTCAACAGTCGGCGCTATTTAGGTCTACGGGTGCGTAATTGGTGTGGATGTCAGACAACTTGACCGTTTGCCAACTCGACCATCGAGTTGTCCGAAGTGGAGTTGGCAAACGGTCGAGTTGTCTGGACCCCTTTGGTGTAGTGCAACCATAACCCATAAGACTCAGTGGGTCCGAGTTGACTCGAGGTGGGTCCAAGTTGGCGTGGGTCCGAGTTGAGGTGGGTCCGAGTTGGTTGTGGCTCTGAGATGGTCGAGGGTCCGAGTTAGAATTGGGGCCGAGTTGGCATGGGTCCGAGTTGGTCCTCAAAGATGTTGGCAACAGTACGTGGGAAACACTGAAGTGTGCCACGTGGCCTGTATTACGGATATAGTAGTATATTTTTGGGATGGAGTGATCTGATCTTGAATCTTTCCAATTTTAAGGAAAGTTCAAAGGTTATTTTGGAGATGAAATGTAACATGAACATGAAGTAAATATTACATAATTGTCACTTTTTTTTTCTATATAAAGATGGGTGCTTTAAAGAGCTATCAGAATTTGTGTAAAGAAAATAACTTGAAGATCTGGTTTTTATGACAGCTGCCTTGAAGCGTATGCTAAATCTGAACCTACCGGTAACCAAGACCTCACTCAATGAACCAACATGGAAAGTACTGGTATACGATCGCTTTGGTCAGGACATTATCTCACCGCTGCTGTCTGTACGAGAACTCAGGGATATGGGTGTCACTCTTCATTTGTAAGTGAAAAACGGTTTTGAGAAAGACGTGTATAAATTTGACTTCTTACAAATGGAGGTGTCCATGGCAAAATGACGGAATAATTAATTAGCAGTCTGACAATGTCATGATCATTAACCTTAACACTCCAGGGTATGCCTTTTAGAAACCCTGCCAGTCCCATCAAATTGTATAATTTGTCAAAGTGGATTGCCTGCCCATTGTAACAAGATCCAATAGGTCAACTCTCCCCAAAGCCAAACAGCCTAGGAATGTGTGGTTGCCAGTCACCACAAGATCCAACAGTGGCATTGTTCAATGGGACTAGCTCCCATTGTCTCAACATGGCCAGTTTGTTCGGCTGCTGTTGATTGCCAAGTGCAACAGACTTTTTCACCTGATGCAGTGTGCTGCGACCGGCAGGGTTAGGATTAATAGGTGCTTTGGGGTTTTGAACGTAAAGTTGTGCCAGAATAAAGAAATCAGTTTATTTTGGTGAACAGTAGAACACAAGATGATGCTTGTATTGTTGGAAAAACAAATAAAAAGTATTGACCAAAAATCTCATAGGAATATATTTCCACTCATGGCATGGTTGGAAATTTCTGTGTAATGTTCTGAAGATTTTAAAATTGACATGTACGTACATGTAAGTTGATTTTGTTCTGCCAGACTTCTCCATTCAGATCGTGACCCCATCCCTGATGTTCCTGCAGTCTATTTTGTCTTGCCCACCGAGGAGAACGTTCAGCGAATATGTCGTGTAAGCCTTGTCCCCCCTTGGAATTAGTCGTTCAATCCCTTAAATTCCCAATGTACACCTGGACTTGAACTTGGTTAATTATAGTGACAGTAAAAACCTGTTGAGAAACTTTTTTCTTTGGGCGACCACACCCTCCAAATTGCCACAGTGTGTGGTTGTAAATCAATGATCTGTTGCCAAAACTCTCCCGTATCCATCAAAGCCCACCATAAGGTTCTGTAGGATATTACAGGGTTTATAAATTAAATACAGAATGCAGTAACCCCTGCCACTCGGGCCTCCTTGCACATCTGCATCAATTTGAACAAGGACTGCCACTCTGGCATTGGTCTGCAGAGTCAAAGCAGATGATGCCACAACTCACAACACTCCAAGGGTGCTCTCAGCTTGGTCTCCCGAGACTGAGCTGCCAATGATGATGATGATAAATGCAGAACTTAGCCCCTGTTACTGTCTATTGTGATTTACATGTATGTCTTTCAAACGGTTTGGTACAAAAAGACTGCCATTGATTTCCTGCAGTTTTCCTGAAACTGAAAGATTCCTTGAAAAATGCAATAAGAATAAAGAGCAAAAGTGGAAGAAAAGTGGAACACCCAGTAACATGGATCAAGCTCTGAGGTGCTGCACATTTTAGAAAATTTGGAGGTAGTTAGTTTTGACACCCACCCCGGCTTGGGATTTTTGTTTTATCCCATTTTCATGACACCGTATCTTTTTTTGTAGATTTCTTGTTTTCTTGAAGCTTTTTTCTAATATTTTATCAAATTCAACTGAAGTGAAATGACTTTTGTTTCTCTGTTTTCAGGATTGCCAGAGCCAGTTGTACGAGGCCTTCTATCTGAATTTCATCTCAGCCATCTCTAGACAGCTGCTTGAAGAGCTGGCTGGCGCGGCACTCCAGTCAAATACAGTCTCACAGATATCTAAGGTGAGCTTGTCAGTTCTGTAAGATCAGGGAAGAATGTGAAATGAGATGTGAGGTTGCTGCTACTTCAAGGCTTGGTTTCATTTGCTTTGAATGTGCTCCTTGGAGACATTTATCTATGCATGGCTGAGCATAAACAACACAGGTCTTATCCCAGAACTCTACACAATGCATCCTTTGCAGTCAGCCACGTGTTACTACCAATAATCCCCAATCTTCCAAAATCTTTTGAAAGTATCGGGAAGATTTTAGAGGATTAAGGAGGGTTAGGGTTATAGACATTTGCACCAGGTAATATAAATTGGGCTGAACTGACACACAGTAACAGTTGTCTGTAGTGAATTCTTAGTACAGTATAGTCTTAGAGTGTTGGCAGTCATATTGTAACACCAAAGGTGGAAAGGGAGATTTGAATATACCAGTTACGCCTCCTTTATAATCGCCTTGGCCACTGTAGTATGCATAATTTCTTCATGATATCCATAGGCAATGCCCAAATCACCTGGATGCGGCTGAGAGTTTTACACATGTCTATGGAGAGTGCCAGCAAGCTGCTAAACATTAGCTTCCATTGGCAAGCATGTTATTGCCAGCCGCAGCCTTAACTTTTGGATGCAGTCTCACACATCCAGAATGCATGACAGATTACTGTGTAGAAGGAATACTAAGACACTTAGACGGATTTCTTTTTTTTTTTGTTACAGGTTTTCGACCAATACCTGAATTTCATCTCAATGGAAGATTTCTTTTTCACAGTCAGACATCAAAATAGGGATACAATCTCGTACTATAGTAAGTACAGTCCACTCTCATCACAACAAAGACCAGTGTAATTTTCTTGTAGCCTCCAGAATTTGTTATAAGAGGATTGGAAATACTAAAAAAACCAAAGAATTTGAGGGATTGGGACCCTCAAAATTTCCTTGTAACTGTATGTAATATCTGAGTGGTTTGTGCATGAACAGTCAATCATGTTGCTACATAGGCTATAGTGTTGTTGCTGTGCGTGTTAAGTGCAGTTTTGAACAAATCTCTTGGATTTTAATTCAGCTGTCCCAGATCCTACAAAATCCACCTGTAGGTTTTGGAGGATTTCATAGGATTGCAAAAAGAACTCAACTACCTGAAGCTTGATGCCCCTTGAAATGTATGAATGAGTGAAGAACATGTGGTTGGGTTTCTGTGGAATGGAAGATTTTGAAATTCCGAAAGGGTCGTGGCAAAATTGTCCAAAAAATGGAAGCTTATCTTCCACTTTTTTGAATGCCCACGGACAATCAAATTCCATCCCACTTCCTCTGTTACGATGAATACGCAGGATAGCTAGTCACCAGTGTTGCTGTCCAGCCCTTTGCAAGTCCTTTCACAAGACCAATCATGAGCTTGTGGCCTGGCTCAAGACTTGATGACTTGTGAGGGACTTACCAGGGACTTGCGAGGGACTTACAGGGACTTGTGAGGGACTTACCAGGGACTTGTGAGGGACTTACAGGGACTTGTGAGGGACTTACCAGGGACTTGTGAGGGACTTACAGGGACTTGTGAGGGACTTACAGGGACTTGTGAGGGACTTANTTGTGAGGGACTTACAGGGTCTTGTGAGGGACTTACCAGGGACTTGTGAGGCACTTACCAGGGACTTGTGAGGGACTTACAGGGACTTGTTAGGGACTTACCAGGGACTTGTGAGGGACTTACAGGGACTTGTGAGGGACTTACAGGGACTTGTGAGGGACTTACCAGGGACTTGTGATGGACTTGATGGCAACACTGCTAGTCATTAACAGTCAGATTCAGTCTACTGGCTGGTGCACACACATCTGGTTTCCATGGTAACACTATCACCGGGTATTCACCGTGGCCCCCTTTGATGGCAGCGAGCATTATGATAACTATTGTATAGAGTTCCAGTAGCATTGCACCACAACCCAACACAGTGCTCAATGCCACTGGAGTGGACCACTGAGAATATACAGTGGCATTGTTCCCGGATTTGTCCATAGCTAAACTGCATATGTCATGGCACTATCAGGAACAAAAAGTTACAGCCAGTCTGTCAGGCTGATTTGGGCTTAAAGTCCCCAGCCGTCAAAAAACAACTTCTTGACAAATATGGAATGTATCCAGTTCCATTTTGTTACTGAGAAAGGGAGGGTTGAACATTTTTGTTTTACATTTTGTAAACTTTTCCAATCTGTGAAGGTATGAACAACGCCTATGTCAAAGACACAGAAATGGATGCTATCATGGACACCATAACAGCTAGTCTCTTCTCTGTCTGCGTCACTCTTGGCACAGTGCCAATCATCCGATGCCCCAAGGGAAATGCAGCTGAGATGGTGGCAGAGGTTAGGACATCTGCTTCATGTTCTCGCACCACTTCTAGCCATAACTGCGTGTAGTTTATATAATACCTGCATAAATCCTGATCATCTGATTGGTGGATCATTAATCACATGTCACTGAATTATTTATCCTTTTCAACAGTATCCGTTGAACAAAACTTCATTTCACTTGACTGGTTCCCGCCCCAATTTCATGTATTTCATTCACAGTAAGAAAGAAGAAAGCGATATAGGAATGGGAACCAGTCTAACATTACACAAATCTACCAGTGGATGGCGCTTCAGATGCAAATCTCTTTTGCAAAATGGCAGATGTTAATATGCGAGGCCCGTCAATTTGTTTTCCCAACAGAAAAAGATTTATGTGGGTAGCGTATAAAACAAATAATAAATGTTTCACATTTGTGCAATAGTAAGAATAATTTCATTCAGTGACAGGTGAAATTGTTTATTCCACCCGGCTTTGCCCCATGGAATTATACATTTCATCTGTCACCTCATGAAACTATTCTTACCATTACACTCATAACATTCATTATTTATTTGCTGTCATATCAGTGTTGCAAATTTTGTAAAATATATTCAGGACTGCTCAAACCTAGCCATTACTGTAGAAAATTGTCCCAAGAACAAAATATGAGAATTTGACTGTAAGTTTCAAAGGGGCCCTTTGAGGGAAATGTTCCGTGGGATGCTGTACTGTTTACAGTCCTCAAAGTATTTGGTTGGTAGTGGGATGGAAGTTTAGTGTCTTCATTCTCTTCTCTTGCTCTAGAAACTTGACAAGAAACTACGGGAGAACCTGAGAGATTCTCGCAACAGCCTCTTCACAACAGACTCCATGCAGGCGGGACAGTTCAGGTAGACGTTATTCAAGTATTTCCATATTGGCAGTATCTTACAGTGTCTTTAAAGCGATTTGTGATTTAACCAAAACGGAACAGAAATTTCTATTTTGCGATAGGAAAGCCAAACCTTGACTACATGCCTGCCTCATGTTATCTTTCTTGAAACCTTTCATTCTTGCTCTGCCCAAGAGTTCACCTGCTACGCTGCATGAAAGCCTGATAGCTCTAACTACTGGCTAGGCAACCTGAACAGCTAAAGAAGGCTTCATTTGTATAAGATTTCTCTCCTTAACATTTCTTAAATGCCTAGAACTGAAAGTTTGTTTGGTTTTTCATTGTGTAGCTTCCAGCGACCACTATTAGTCATCCTAGATCGCAATATGGATCTAGCTACCCCACTGCATCATACGTGGACCTATCAAGCCTTGGCACACGATGTTCTGGTATGTCTGCATCAGAGCCACCATTTGAGTTTCATTTGGAGTATTCCTGGTTTATGCCTATACCAGTGACCTTCCAGGACCGTAATGATGAGAAATGTTTCTTGTTTTCAAACGGAATTTGGCAACTAAAAGCAGATCTAAAGTGCTTTTTGGCAGTAAGAATTGAAGGATTTGAAATAAATGTTGTTTATGAACACAAAATAATGTAAGGTTTGTTTGAAATGTTGCATAGTTGAGCATTGTTGTTCGTCATATCTCATTTCTGATGTTTTGTCATCCTGTCATTTTCCACAACAGGATCTTCAGTTGAACCGAGTCGTGATTGAAGAGACGGTAGATGTGGGTCACTCCACAACGGGGTCAAGACCCAAGAAAAAGACTAAATCCTACGACCTCTCGTGTCACGACAAATTCTGGTCTGGCCAGAAAGGAAAGTGAGTGATTGGCTAATGTTAGTGCGTGGACTCTAAATGGGTTCATTTGGGTAACATGGCCAAATTTTGTCGAGTTGCTGAGCACGGAAAATGTGTGTGAGCAAAACCGTGTTACCAACCAAAACATGCGAAATGCATTGTTTGCGATTTATTCTAGGTAGATTTTTGCTTAACACATAAATTTGCTAAGCACATACATTTTTGTGCTAAGACCATGTCCAGATTACTTGGCTATGGCTTGCAATTATGCACAATTCCATGGTGAATGGCTTCAGTCACATCCATAGACTCATGCCATTTGGACATTGCCTGAGCAACTGTACACTTGAAACTGATTTTTCACACCCTACAATCAAAGAAACAAATCAATGAGTATTGTGTAAAAATTCAAACTCAGAAGGAAACAGTTTTTATCACATTTCCTTCGGTTGATTTTGAATTGCTTTTTTTTGGGCCTAACTGTTTAGTCCCTTCCCAGAGGTAGCTGAGGCAGTTCAGAGTGAGTTAGAAACCTACCGAGCGTCGGAAGACGAGGTCAAGAAACTCAAGGCTGCCATGGTGAGCTGGTTACTGGCTCTCAACTCCATGTCAGAGGACAAATTGATCAATCCCTTCAGTTTTGCACAGAATTTGTCCGTGCCGTCGGAAACCTTCAACATGACATAATTAGTGCTACACAAAAAAACTGGAATCCTGCAGTCTGAAATCACTGTTTTTTACTTCAAGTCATTAATTAATGAATAAGGGGTCACTTTATATTTTTAAGACTTGAATTAGTTTCTGCTGGTTGAAAGGAATTAAATGGGATCTGGACACAAAGGTCAGTTGAATGAGCACCAAGTTATTTTGGAAGTTGCTGGTTTGAATTTGAGTTCAGTTGATGAGGTTCAGTCCTCTGCAACGAGATCATCAGTGGGCTTATTGTTTTAAATCAGGGTCTTGAAGGAGAAGATGAAGGAGCCATCAGCATGCTGTCAGACAACACGGCCAAACTCACCTCAGCTGTAAGGTAAATAAAGCATTCATTCAGAGAGGTTATTTGGTAAGGGGAAAGAATTATAGCAGAGGTTTTGAAACTGGCATACCACCTTAACATTTCATTTACTGAGCAGTCGGAGAATTTGTATATAAATGCCTTCTGATGTCAATCGTGTTTGTCACTAATTTGTCTACAGTTCTCTCCCTGAGCTTCTTCAAAAGAAGAAAACAATTGACATGCACACCAATGTAGCCACAGCACTCCTGGACCAAATCAAGGTAGGTCACATCAAGAAATGGATCACCGACTGTTAATATATTATCTTGGGTAAGAGGAAATTATATCTGGTGTTTCTGTTTTGTGGATATAAGGCTGCATTACAAATTTGAAAAACAGGTTTAGGTTTCTTAGTATTTACATTAGCTCATGTAGAGAACATCCTTTTTTGTTTTAGCATATATTTCTGTAGACAAATTCAGTGACCGTGGTTATGCTCTTACTGGTCCCTTGAATGGCCCCCGCTAATGGTGGTAAGCATTGTGATTACTATTGTACTGAGCCTCTATTCTGTCACACTCGCTCTGTGCAAAATTTTAAACCCAACACAATGCTTCTGCCATAAAGAGGGACCATCGCAAATGTCCAGTTAAACATTGTCTAAACATTGAAAATTTCTCTTCTCCAAAATAGTTAATATTTGAATCCACTTGTTCATGTTTATATGTATCGGTGAAAATTGACAGTTGAACTGTAAAAGCACTTTTTCTTAGTAAAATGATTACCAAAAGTGGGCATGCACAATGGAACTTTTTTTTAACTTCTGAATTTTATCAATTGGATTGCTTGTCTGTCTCTTTATGCTTGTCTGTCTGTCTCTTTATCTGTCTGTCTCGTTGTTTCCTCCTGCGTCAGGCTCGTAAGTTGGATGTTTATTTTGAGTTGGAGGAGAAGTTGATGAGTAAACAGTCCCTGGACAAGTCCCTGATGGACGTGATCACGGACCCCGATGCAGGAACGCCAGATGACAAGATGAGACTCTTCATTATCTTCTTCATCTGCACTCCGACCATGAGCGACGTGAGTAGTAGGAAGAAGAGCTAGAATTGCTAAGTGGATTTTGTGTTAAGCAACATTGAGTGGGAAACCAGTCTTAAGGAACATAATTTGCATGCTGTTTCAGCTGGTAGCCCGCTTCTGCTGAGCATAATGTCTTTGCACAGCTAACAACTGTACTTAATTGCTCCAAGACATTAGAGCCTGTTTGCAAGTGAAATGTTTCAGGACAGTGTACTGTAATTTGATTGTTCTGTTTGTTTAAACCCTTCTCGGTGGGAATTTCTTTCTGAAAGCCGACTCCAAGAATTCCAGCCTCGCTTGGCCACGAAGGCCACCTGCCAAACCGCAAATTCTCGGTTTGTGGCCCAGTGTGCTCTGCACGCTTCGAATTACATGGTGAAAAGGCTGATTGTTTGGTGGCATGCGGCTCTACTCAAGCTTCCACATTCCCGTTGCCTCTTTTCAAATTGGGGACTATTGTGAAGCTGGAGATTATGATGCAAATTCGGTCTTTTCATTTCTGGGCTACACACAAAGACCAATTACCATATACACAAGAGCCAAGGTCTGCTTTCTTTCACTGTGTTCGCTCGAGCGTAGGCCGAGAATAATAGCTGAAAAGCGGGCTGAGGATCTCAATTTTTACAGTGTGTTTTAACGCGTCCCGGCGTGAAGGGGTTAAGTTTAATTTGCCCAGTTCTGTTATTTTTTCTAAGGAGAGGATATTGTAGCTTTTCACAAGCTGTCTACACAAAGTTCTTGAAGAAACAGAAAGAGTAAATCTAACAAAAACATTGCCCAAAAGGTTGACTTAAGGCTGAGTCAGCTTGCTGCAAATGCAAACTCAAAGGTTAACTTGTAATGATGTAGCAATCATTCATTCGGCAAATTTGCTAAGGTGAAGACGTTTTTGCTCCTGACAAATTTTACCTTGAGTGTTTTTTCGGGAATGCTTAGTACTTGTCATATGTCATTTTGTCCACAGTCCGAGTTGGACCAGTATTCCGTTGCATTGGAGTCTGCAGGGTGTAACCTCTCACCACTACAATATGTCAAAAGATGGAAGTCAGTGTTTCAAGATGCCTTTTCACAGATTATGTTAATGTTTATATCAGGTTTTACACCAGTAGATTTTGCATGCATAATTAGAATTCGTGTGAAAATTGGCTGAATGGCAAACATTTTGTAGTTAGTTACTCAATGAAATAGGACATACATTTCTGAATCATGTCAAGTTCACGTTCCTTTCTTGTTGACACTTGCAGAAATGCTAAGATTAAGTGTGTTGTAATGTGTAAAATGATACTAGAAAAAGCTGACCAAACTAGCTTTTCTTGGTTTCTTTTTATGAAATGAATTTACAAAGACATAATTCATAAATGTAATAACAATCAGACGTTTTTCTCTCTGGGAGAAGTCATGCAAGTTAACAACAAACCACAAACTGCATGTGGCAATCTCATCAGGATTTCTCTGACCACAGTACATTATTGTTTCATTTATGTTATCACTTAATAATTCATCAAGGGTTCTGACATTTCTTGAATGGCTCTTCTTGTAGACACTACACCAAGATGACAGCCCCTAGCCAGTATGCAGGCGGAGGTACCAAGACTATTAGCATGTTCTCTAAGCTCATGAGCACCGGTTCCCAGTTCGTCATGGAGGGCGTCAAGAACTTTGTCGTCAAGAAACATGTGAGTACGATCATTAAAAATTGTTTTGTTTGCTTGTGTTTGTTGTAACCAAGACTCCTCAAGACAACCGTAAGACCAACACAAGACCTCCGGTCTGAATTCAAGTCATTAGCTGTTCATTTGAACTGCAACAAAAGCATTCCTTTGTCACATTTTACCCCGTTACTTGTGCCTGGTCTCGTGACTAGCCTTGTGTCTAGTCATGTGATGGTCGTGCAACAACTCCATTGGCCGAAGGAGAATGTGTACTTCTGCAAAAACAATAGGGAGCAGTTTTTTGAATTTGTGAAGTGAAATATTTGGATGCTTGCTCTCTCCTTCTGTTAGAACTTACCAGCAACACGGATTGTCGATGCTTTGATGGAGCTCAAATCTAACCAGGTTGGTTTAATTAATGTGTTATTTACGTTTGCAGGCCAACTTTGGTGTTGTATTACATTTTTTTCTTAAAAATCATTGACACCGACACACTGACAGAATTAATGTGAAAAACATTGTATTGACTGTTGGGATAAATTTGGAATTTGGAATGGAGAGGCTTGACGTTCATCCAACTGAACTTCTCTCGTCTTGTTTGACTTATTTTTAGGAAACAGATGATTATCGATACTTTGACCCTAAACTGCTGCGAGTTACAGACAGGTAAGAAGTGAAATGGACTAACATTCATGAACAGCATTTGACTGAGATGTACAGTTTAATGTTGAAATCATGCACGCACAATATTCATATCGAATACCATGTGATTGAATATGCAAATTTATCATAGCATACAAAGCAAGAAGACCCCTTTGAATGGCAAACTAAAACTTCAAATGGGGTTGAATTCAAATGATTTCACTATACATTACATGCTGGACACTAGATTGCACTAGGGGGCGCTGTTTATGATGTAGATGTATCTCACGTATGTTCGTGAGCTTTCAGCTTGCATGCAAATCAAATCAAATCAAACTGGCATCCTCTTATTGGTTTTCATGTACCAGCTCAGCTATCCCGAGAAACAAGACCCCATTTCAAGATGCCATCGTCTTCGTGGTCGGAGGCGGCAATTACATTGAATACCAGAACCTGATAGACTATGTCAAGGTACGTGGACCTTGGGAATAAAGACTTGAAAGGTTGGAATCTCACCGCAATATAGTTTTCCCCCCAGATTTTAAAACAGCATTTGGTATCAACTTTTTCAAATTTGTTTTTTTCATTACTTGGTTCTGTTCTCCTTTGTTCTCCTCCCTAACAGAGTAAATCTAGCACAGCAGGATCTGGAAAGAAGATAACTTACGGCTGCAGTGAATTATTTAATGCTGATCAGTTCTTGAAACAGGTAATTTCTTGGTAGGACTTGACCTACTCAGTGCCAAGGGCCGGTAGAAGGGATTTGCAATATGTCACCCACCAAACTTGGCCATTCTGCATTCATTCACTTCCAAAGTGCTGCGTCATGGTGATTGCCACTGCTCAAATATCCCTCACAACATGTCGTGCTGCACAGAGTACAGAAGTGAATATGTAATGCTTACAGTTATGTGCGTAAAAAGCATCAGTGCCAGAACCAGCACTTGAACCAACATGGGCGTGTACTCCATCCGTTGCACTACACTTCCTGGTTCAAATGACGTCATGCTTTGGTACTCAGTAGACCTGTGACATAATGATGGCACGCTTTATTTACTTGCGCACTTTTCTGACAGGGCCATGAGATCCACCGAACTCTCACAGGAAAGTGCAGAGGTTAACAAAGCAATGCATCATTGTGTTGTATTGGTCAAGTCTGGTCTGGTCTAGCCTTGTTAGGTCAGGTCTGGTCTGGTCTGGCCTAGTCAGGTCTGGCCTAGTCTGGCCTGGTCAGGTCTGGTCTGGTCAGGTCAAGTCTGGTCAGGTCTGGTCTGGTCTGGTCTGGCCTGGTCTCTTCTGGTCAGGTCTTGCCTGGTCAGTCTGGCCTGGTCTGGTCTGGTGTAGTCCTAGAGGCTACTGAAACTTAAGAATGCTGGCACTTTACAAAAGTGGAGGAAATGGCTGTCAATTTATGAGAATTTAGCGCTTAAAAATGGTGAGCTGCTTTGCAGCTGATCGTAATCACATACATAAGAGTCTCCATTGTTGATGTTACAGGTTTCCAGATTTAGAGAAGCTTAAAACGTAAAATTTACTAGGTCTAGGTAAAAATGCCAGTCTTGTATATAATAATGTGACCTGGTTGTGAGAAGCAATTGCTGTCCTCGGTTCAGTTATCCAATCACTTTAAAAGTGACCAAACTTGGAGTTTATCACCCATCGGTCATTGCTTCTTCATGAAGATTGTGGTTCTACAAGTTAATCTTGGAAGTTTCCCAATTTACCTTGATTTAATTTGAATACCCCAATATACTGGTGACGTCACACTTCCTTTACATGTGCACTGTACTGTGGTAGCTCAATAAGGATGACAGATTTGAAGCTCTGTAGGAAAGTGTTCATGTAAATGTGATGTCACCAGTACATAGGCTTCAAAGCCTAACTTTCTTGTGGTTTGAATTAGTGCGTGTCTGATATAAAAAGGACGTTTGGACACTTGGCTCATCTCAGCACTCATAAACAGATGTGAGAATTGTGGTTGAAATTCATTATCACAATTCTGTTTCCTCTTTCTGTGTTTATATATTCTTACAGTTAACACAACTTGGACAGGAGAAGGTCTAATGGAAGAATTCCCAGATCTGTACAGTCCCCAAAGTAGGAAAAAAAATCAGCCTGTAATATACATTTCAAATTGTTTGTAGAATGGTGTAAAATGGAATAGAAAGAAATTCCTAAAGTCAGTGTCATGATAACAGTTTGCTTTGCATGTCACTTGGAAAAGGGTCACATTTCATATTTGGTCTATATGTGTGGAACAGAATCGTTCACAGAAGGGGAGTATTTGTGACCAATTATTCTAAAACCAGTCTGAAGAATAATTAGCTTTTATTTGGAAAATGATAACCAGTGTAGACATCAACAATGCAAATTTTACAACATTCTTTGCTTGTGCCCACCAAAGTGTTTCTACAGACCAAATGTTTCAAGTTGGATGTCATCAAAAACACTGATTAACAGCAGAGGATGGCCAAACATCGGAATTACTCACTTCAGTCTGGTTTTGGGGGATGTCTGATCACATTTGGGAAATTCCAATTGTTTTTGGGGTAGAAGTTTTGGCTGGCTGAACCCAGCTCCCTTCAAGAAGTTACTTGTTCCTGCAAGTGATATTTTACGGGATTTAAAATGGTTTTGGGTAGTTTTAATCTAAGCGACCTAACTTGAACAGTTGGAGGGTGTCTTCATGTGGATGCTGAACTAGTGTAATTGGCATTTGGATGAAGAATTTTGCCCATAATTATTCTAAAACTGATCAATGACTGATTGCTCAGTATTTCAAGAGAAAACCTACCAACTTCCCAGATTCTTCCAAATTTACCAGATTTGTGTAAGAGGATGTGGCAGGAGTGTGGAATGTACAGAGTACTGAAATGAACACAGTACGTGCACAATTATGTGTGTAAAACTCAGTAGCGAGGGAACTAGCGTGTGAATCAACACACCTGCGTACTCTGTTTGTTTACACTACACTTTCCGGTTCAAAATGACGTCACACGTTGGTACTCCACACCCTAGTCATTGTTATTTCTCTGTGTGCTTGACACCCCTTGAAGTGTGTGCTATTGAATTCCTGCACGGTGGTAGATTTTGAAGGCATTGGGAAGGTTAACAGCAAAATTGCCTCGGAAATCATGGTTGACTGTAATATTTTTCATGCAAGGAGTCTTGGGTGTATTCTGTCGGTCAACAATTGGTCACAAACACAGAGTATGACAGATCTACACATGAACAGGCCTGACATTCCATCTTGCAGTTCTCACACACAGCCTGCAAGGCCTGTTATGCACAGACTAGAAACCAGGGACCATTTGTATTGGCAAATATCTTGTTTTAATGCTAAGCAGAAACCAGCTGTAAACCTGCTTTATTGAAGCAGTATTTTAGCTAGTAATTTTTTTGCTAAACAAAATGCTTCCCAAGCTTTAGCTGTGTCTGAATTTACGTGGCTGTGGCTAGGAATTATGCACTACTCTATCGGTAGTAGCCACATCCACTACCATAGACTCGTATGTAATTTCAAGCCGCAGCCAAGCAATTCGGACATGGCATTAGCAAGTTTTCACACGTAGCAGCTCTTTGGCCTTTGGTCTTACTTTATAATGAGGACAACATTGGCCCACGGTCTGAAAATGTGCTTTGCTCTGAGAAAATTGAATGCCTCGTAATTTGATTGGTGTGGCACACATGCAAGTGGGCATTTGGCATGCAGTACCTCTGTGCTCACATAATGGGCCAAGTCAGAATCAACCGGCTGAGGCTAGGAATGCATACATGTCTGTGGGAAGTGGCTGTAGCCACTAGTCACTAGCCAGTGGCTTACCATTGGCACATGTGTGATTCCTAGCCACAACTTTCTGACATGACCATATTTAGTGGCACCCTGTCAGACTTTATCAAGGGAAGAATTTACCAAACTTCCAGATCTATCTCAAGCTCCCTTTCAAGAAATGAATGCAGTGCTCGGCTATTCCTGTCAGGTGTGTTATCAATATCACTATGCGTGTGTGATTTTCAGGGTGTTAACGTCAAAGCTCTGTGAATTTTGTTGGACAGCTAACATGGAATAGTTATGCACAGTAACTCACAATATGATGCCGAGTTTTAATGCCAAATAATTGAAGGCTGAAAATAAACGAACATGTATATTTGTGCACTTGCATTTTAATGAACTGTGCGCTTGATGAGTGATGTTTATGTAGGAGATGTTGAGAGAGGTTGATAGAGGCAAGTGCCAAGGTTGGGTGGTGTGTCTTGCATTGTGTATGGTGGAGGTGTTCTGGTATTGTCATAGTCAAGACTCAAGGTTGTCACGAGACCTCCAGCTTGAATTCAAGTCACAAGCTCTTCAAATGAAGTGCAACAAAAGCATTCCTTTGTCATTGTTCACGCTGCTATTGGTGTGTGTCAGGTCTCCAGATGGCATTTGAAGCAAGATATGGGATGGAGAGAACCCCCTCGCCTTTGTGTTGGTCATTGTTTTGATTGGAATCTCAGGAATTCTTTACAGACTTAGGGGGGGACATGTTAGGTAACAATAATCTAGAATGTGTATAGGGATTGGACAGGTGGGGGGAACCCCCTCCGTCCCATATCTTGCCTGGTATATGAGATAGTCTTTACTACAACGCTGCTTACTGGAATGGTCATACAAAAAACGCACAACTTGTAAATTGCTCCATTTTTTTTGAAGGAACATCTGTATCCAGAAGGTTTGCAAGGCGTGGGTAGGGGATGTCAAGGATATTTATGAGGAATTTACTCTTATCATCAACAACTGAAGTTGCATGTACTGACATTTGGACCACTGTCCTCTGGAATTCTGCATAAGAACTCAGTTGGTGTGCACTTGCACCATCATTTTTGTGCTTATCAAGTTCCACTTCGGTCAGAATGCTTACTCCAAAATAACGAGGATGTAACTAATGTATTTTAGACTCATAACTAACAACAGTGACAAGAAAAAACACACAACCTTTTATTTTTTTTTTATTCAAGATTTAATTTTTGACCTTTATCTACAGATATGTACCAACATATTACATTTGAATTTTATTATTATTTTATATTAGTTAATAATACAAATCAGGAAATCAATTGGAGTTTTCTGAATTACACCGTTTGGATTTTAGGTACTGTCCCCTCATTGCACTGTTACGGAAATCAGAAGTTGTAAAGTCACAGAAATGGTACGTATACACTGAAGTTATCAAACAGACTACACCGGTGTATGGCAGGCTTTTTCATGATATCTTAATACCAAAGGAGGGCGACAGACATACTGGAGCCTCGGGTAGTGGTACCGTCAATTGAGGGCAGTGCACATAAATACATGTAATAATACTATGGCTGACTGATGCAACCGGTCACTGCTTTATTTACATACACGGTAATGGCTTGCGAGGAAGTGAAGATTTGTGGCTCACTGTAGCTTGAAGGAAGGTAGATCTCATGGGCATCACCAGCATTATTATCAAGGAGGGAAGGGTACAGTAAGCCACTCGGCAGAAGCAAACAACAAATCCTTAACAGTGAAACGATCCGTTATGAGGTACCTGAATATACCTCAGAATTGGCACTCTTAGCCAACTGGTGATTTTCATCCCTTAACCCAATCTCCTTTGGCCATTTTCTTCCTTTTAATTTTTTTTTGGGGGGGGAGGTTACCTCCCTCCTGACAACCATGGATGGTCCCTTTTAGTCACCAAGGGAAACAAGACAAGCACCATCTCTGTGCCTACCAATGTTTACAACACAAGTCTACAGCTTAAAATAATTTCATCTCGAGCTAAGAAAATGAAAAAAAGTCGGACTTCAAGGCTACAGATTGAATTAAACCTCAAAGCTATATACTATTAATTAAATATAACTAGAAGAGAAAAAAATTAGAAGCTTAATTCAATACCGACAGCAAAACTTCCACAGCAAATTTTTTGGATTCAGAAAAGGTTTGTTTTTAGGACCGAGGGGAGGGGATGCAATTCTTGAACGGTTATCAAGTTTTGAAATAGTTATTTAGACATCTTTTATAGAATTTCAAACAAAATTTCTGGAAAAAGATAAATGAAACCTCAACAGTGGGTATCGTGCATTGTTGCCGAGAAATGATATGTATTTCTAGGATGCAGATTTCTTCGTGCACTTTACACTACTTGTATACTTTTTAGACCTAAAAAAAGTGACACATTAAACTAAACATGTTACTTTTATTCTCCCAGTGCACTGGAAAGGGCAGATTTTCTGTGATTTCTGTCAATCAACCAACTGATATGTACCAGTAACAAACTACTTTTTTTCATTAATGAAAGACGTTCTGCAGTGAGGTCATTTGCATATCAATTGATCTGGACATTGACTCGACAGCATGAAGGAATTTGGAAAGTGTCACCCAAATTATACGCACCTACCTTGATACATTTAAATCGCTGAAAAATTTCAAAGTTAATATTGTGACACTGAGGTACTCACGCAACAGTGCACATACACTCAAGAACTGGGCAGAAATAACCATAAAATTAAATTTTCAAAATTCATACAGTGAATATGATCATTTGTTGCTTTAAAAAGCAACTACCAAGTTTCTTCTAAATCTATATCGCATGCCATTGAAAAGTTTAAATTAGTTTAAATCTAACAAACTGTTCATTTCTGTGCCCACAAATAAACGTCAAAACGAAACTGGCTGACAAATGTGGTAGGTTTCCAGCATAAGCTTTCAAGTTAGATACTGCAAGTACATAGCATGTTTAATCTTTTTTTTTAAGACAGCAGAAATTTATTGCTAGCCAAATTCAAGTAATAAAAGTGAATATTAGATCTGTAACATAATGCCATGGGCCAAATAAATAATCACAACTTTTCATGTCACAAAGGCAGAAGATTAACAAAGAACACAAAGTGGCTGATCTGGGATGTGAAGTTTTTTTGAATGTGCACTTCAGGACTCACTTTGTCAAGCTGTGCTTTAATTTCTAAGTCATCTACTTTTCATTTGTCCTTTAAAACAAGGAGTCATGATTAAACTGAGAAACTTTCTGATAAAGGGGTTTAAATTCTTTCAACATTACCAAAATGTAGGTGAACGAACTTACGAAAAAAATTACATACATACAACTGTCTGTTCAATGTCATACAAAATTGAGAAAGATTGGAAACTCAAGTCTATCAACTACTAAGTATTGAAATTATACTGTATTGCGTGTCACAAAAAATTCAACTCCCAATGGCTACAGGTAGCTTCCCCATCTTAATACAAATAGCATACCCAACATAAATATCCGACATCAAAGATTAATAAACCGTCACAAAATATTTCATCTTTTTGATATTTTTGTTTTCACATTTGTACAGGTACAGCATAAAAGAATACATCTTGTAATGAAATAATTCCAGCATTGCTCCAAAATTAATTTTTCTTCCGTGTACAATTATTTATTTGTTAATTCCATTTCTTTACAGTGGCAAATATTCTTATTTTGGAAGAGAAGCAATACTTGTGAACACACAGCACTGAATAATGGCTACTCAGCATCTTCTGATTCCTCAAATGCTGATAACCCACCTGCAGTCAACTCTCGTTATAACAAGGGTCCTGGGACCAGTGATAACCAAAACATGTCTTAAAGGACTCACAATAAGAGGAAAAACGAACGTATTCACAAGGGTGGACCTCGGAAGTTGCTCTTTATACCAATATTATTTGTCATAATAGTTTATTCTGTATATTGACAGTCAAACTGTATCACAAACATGACGACTCAGGTCTTCAACCCTGACACAGTAAAATCTTGGAAACATAATCTGCCCCATGAATCTTGGCAGCCGTAACAGAATAATGATTCAAATGTGATTCTCACAGTTGATTTTCTTCATAAGCACAACGTGCATTGGGCACGATCAGTCGATCTGCTTGATTGATCAATCCTGTAGGAAACCTGAGCCGTTAATTTTCCTTTTTCAAACAATCTTCCGCAGAATGGGAAAGAAAGTATCACTGACAGAAAGACTGATGGATTGTGCTGCAAGATTAACCCATAGTGCAGCGACTGATCAACCGTGCAGATCGAACACTAGTGCCCAAAATGCATGCGTTCAGTGTCGTATGCAAGTTTATGCCACGTGTATTTCCAAGTGCACTTGAACTTTGACCTCCCGTTTACCAATTCGAACATTGTACAACCTAGCGCCATCAAGACTGCCATGGCTGGCAACCTGCTTCCAAGATTGTAATTCAATGTATTAGCAGCAATTTTATGTAGACAGCTGCTTTATTTGCTCATTTGTGTGTGCATCAGAGTGACTTCAATCAAACACAATAACCTCTGCACTATGGTAGAAACTAAATGAAATTTGTCAGTTCTCAACACTCAGAGAGAACCGGGGCCAATTGAAGGTCAAAGCTCTTAGCTTAATTCAATAAATCTTTATTTTCATAAGAATGAATACATGGAGGATTCTCCAGAATTCCTGAAGCTTCCAGGAAACAGCGAAGGAATGAAAATCAATGCCTACAATCCATCTTTCTGACTGACCAAGAGCTCTGTCCAGTGATAACCAGGGGAACTCTCGGAAGTGAATCGCTTTGTGATTCAGTCTTTTCAGACATGTCAGATATTGTGTTTCATTTCCACAATCTGGTGTTCCCATCTCGAATGCTATAAATAACTCAACATGTTGCTTTGTTTCAGTCGGAGAGCATCATCACTTGGCAGTACCTGTAACAATGCCAGCAATGGTTAATCAAAATGGTACCTTCTGCAAAACACTTCCTGAGCTAACTGCATCAGAAACCCATTTTACTTCCTCTGATGGTCTCAAATGCTTACAAAAAAGTAACTTAACAGAAAAATGTGCTCAGGTGAGACTTGTATCCAAATGAATTGATCCAAAGATTTCACAATGCTTGATTGCTAAATTCCTGGTTTCAAGTTTGAAAGTCCATTTATGGCTGCTTCATTGTATTATCTTTTCACAATCTGGATGGCTTCAAAACATGACTAATGAGGAATAAACTAGGTGAAAGAGTAACAGTTAATGAGAAAAACAATGAAATACATGAATTTTCCTACATTGCTTACAAGCAAAGATATTTTTTTGGAGTTCAAATATTTCAACACCTTGATTGCCTGGCAGTTTCAACCCCTCAAAATATTGGGAAACATTTGTGCGTTTCTCACATGTCTATGGTAAACTGAGCATCCTGTCCATCCCCACAGCATTGCTACCGTCACACTTTTTGTTCAAGTTCATTCTTTAGGGACTCAGAGATTTGCTCAGTTACAACTCGGCAACTCAGTGCGTCTGCACAGAGTGGTATAGCTCCAGCCATGGCACTCATTTCAGAAATGGGTTACTCACCTACATGCATGTTGCTTTTATTGGTAAAATTTAAGTGACGGCGTCTAGCATATTAAAAGTGAAACCTGTTTTGTATATGCTAAATCTTTATCTTAAAAGTTTGAAAGCCACTGCGAGGACATGACAAACTGGATGCTCAACAGATGCCCATAACGGGAGTCTTTGTGCAAGTGCTTTTTATCATCCTGTGCACAAACAACAAGTGTACATGTAGCACCGGCGGCGGAACGATTTCCAAAGTGGGGGGCCTGTTATCAGACATCAGCCATTAATAGGTCAATCCATTATGACCCATCCAATTATTGGACCTGCAAAAAGTGGGGGCCAGCCCCCCCCCCAACATGTAGGCTTTGATGTCTATGGATTAGCCATGTTTTGGTAAGCTGAAAGTCTAGTTTCAAGCATTATCTGATACGACTGGATTTTACTTAGGCTGCATCTTTTATCCCGTGCCTTGGACGGGCAACTGACTACACGCCTACCGGCTGCATCCCAATCTGTTGTCTAGGACCACGTCTAGGTCTTTGCTTCACTGAAAGTATGCAGAGATGCAGTGTCAATAGACATAGCCTAAGTGTAACTGCTGTGTATGTTAGACGTCCGAATTAATTTGGCTGCGACTGATAATAACACATGAGGCTACGGAATTCACTGGGCTGGCCGCTAAAGCAAGTCACTGAGCTAGCCACTGAAGTAAGTTGCTGGGCTAGCCGCTAAAGCCATTTCCCATAAACTTGTATGTCATTCCCCACCATACCCGACTATTTCAAACAGCACTGCCTTAGCTGTCTTCAAACAGCACTGCCTTAGCTATCTTCCATGGACACTTCTAAGCACACAAAGGAGCTGAGCACAAAAGGACTTTTGCTAAGCACAAAAGGACTTTTGCTAAGCAATACAGGGTACCAAAGAACGTGAATAGATTTCTATTGCTGGTAACCAGTTTCCAACTTATTTCTACTCGAGCAATTAAAATCTGCCCCAAATTTTTTGAGGGGGGGTGGCAGTTCCACAGAAATTGGCATACTAGGAGTCTATCTTATCCCACGCTGCACTGCAGCCACAGTTCAAATCTGTTGTAGATAAGGTAGAACAGATTGCAGGACGAGCAGGACAAGTTGACGAGTTGACCAAGTTGGCTTGACCGCAGAGAAACCTTCAAACTTCTAGTATAACCCCACAGTTTGCAGTGGTCGTAGCCCTTGTGCGTGCGTTCAGTCCCGTCAACAAAAGCGACATCCAGAAAACTAAGAGAGCAGGTTTGTGAAAAGCTGTATCAGGAGGTAAAGATGAGACAAGTCTTCATTTCAGAAATTCCACAGTTATTTCAATATTACCACCACACTGTTTAAAAAAAGTGAAAGCGATGACAATATTTAAGCTGTAAATAAGACGCTACACATGAGCAAGCAGCCACAGGGCACGGGTGAAACCGTGCATCTATGCATGTTTTGCACTAAAACATCTTTCCGTTCATCAATCTACATACATGTAACAGCGAAGACTGAAACGCAATAACACATTTCCACTTTTGCGTGGAACTGCCCAGTAAATTTTTTCCATGTGCATAGAAAATACCTTAATTTTGAAGTCCCGTTACCTTGCCCTTTTCCTTTTATGAGATCTTGACGTCTGTCTGCACGGTAGCGGTACTTCTGACCTTTGCCATGATTTGATCGAGCTCTTTCTCAAAGTCATCTGGCGATGATGACAGTGCTATATGACCAACAAGATGCAGAGATGAGAAGGTCAGAAAAGGTGAGAAGAAAAAGGTGGAACCTTCGGCATTAACTCAATCCTGTCATCTCCAAGGCTAATTTTGCTAATACTAATTCAGTGGCAATGCCTGGTTTCCAGAAGCAAATTAGGCCGACTTGTTTGGCTGCCTGGTGAGAAAAGGGTAACCTTTAAGAAAAGGGATTTTATATCAGGCAAAAAAAAGAATTACACAGTTGGATTGTGTTTGTGCACACTGTCTAATGCTGGGAACAGCAAAGCTAGCAGGCACCCAACAGAGACAAAAATTGGTCACCAGTTTCAAATACAGATTGATGTAATTCAGGGCTCTTCTGCAAAATGCAATTTGAAGAAAAGACCTTAATTTGGCTACATAACATTCCAAACCCTTCCATGAGACTCTGATTTTCACAGTACAGCAAACAGCGACTGTGAGAAGTGGCATTTATAAGGGCATGCTTTATATACAGCATTTAGAGTTGTCAAATTTAACAAACTGGTTCAAAACAATAACAATGGAAACACACAATGTATGATACAATACAAAAAATCCAGTAAAAAGTCTCCTTTCCCAATGAACCGAGAAATCAAATGGCCTAGCTGACATTTATAAGGTGTACTACCAACTAAAACAACTTTGATCAGACTTTGTTGATGGTAGCAGCTGGCAGGTCCATCATAATTTCTCCGTGACTTTAGTTTTCATCTCCATACACTCCTAGTGCAAGATTACCAACATACTTGTCCCTTGTAAAAATTAAATGTCCACGCTGAACACAACCATCAGCTTTTCTGCCTGTAAAATATTTCTGTACACTGAATAACTGTGAAAGGCCCCCTCCCCCACCCCAAATGCCCCATTTTACTCAGGGTCAAAGATTGGAGACATTATTGCTCAATAAAACAAACATATTTACAGGAGAAGAATTACGGCAACAGCACATTTACCTCCTGTTTGACAGTTTGCTCCTTCTAGTCCTTCTGTCTCAGCATTAGTCTTGTTCCCCGCCTCCACAGTGCCATTAACAAGGCTGACTGATTCTCCTTCACAATTTCCTTCCACAATGAGCGTGAGGGGGTCTCTGGTGTGACCCCTATCCCCCATGGGATCTCCTTGAGTTTTGAGATCTGATTTCTTTTCCTCTGGTTGAGTTGCTTTTGACGGAGTTGCGTCTGTTGCATTGGGAGAATGTTGGGACGGAGTGGGGTTCTCGTTCATCAAGTCCGTTTGAGGGATTGAGGGCACTGTATCACTCGCGCAATTCCCAACCGGGATGAAACTGTCAAAGTGTCCGTATCCCATGACCAAGGTGCTTTGGGATAGGATCGTGGGTGATGCTGCGGCCATCGCTGCCTGCATTGGGTGCGCCAACAGCTGGATATTATTAGCTAACGGGACGCCCGTTGGGGAGTCCAACTCATCCTTGTAGTCTCTTCTCAGGCCACCTCCTTGGGAGGCTTGCATAGGCTGCTGCCCCGCACTGTTGTCACTAGTGGAAGACGTTTGGGCAGTGCTGCCCACCGTTGAGCCCCCATCAAAGCTGACCAGATTCAGTGGGTCGTTGTTTGCAGTACTGGCCTCAGTCTCGACAGGCAGGGAGGAGGGGTCGGCTACATACCTGACGTTTAGAGTTCTGGGGTTCACGCGAGTGGTGGGGCTCTGAGGCCCAATCTCCGTGGATTCAAGCTGTTCTTGTTCGTTGCCATGGTTACTGCTTATTGTCCGGTTTCCTTGTTGCATGTTACCAGTCTCCTCTTGCTGATCTGAACCCCCCTGCTCTGTTTTCTGCTGTTCAGAGCGACTGATTTCTCGATTTCGTTGAATGTGAACACTGATCTCGCTCTGCAGACTTTTCTGAAGATCCTCATACCCTCGCATCTAAAAGATCAAATTCAGTTGAAGAGCCAGTAAATGAACAACCAGACAGCAAAAACACAGTGGGTTTACCAAGGAGGCTTTAAATACTAAGCGACTCTAGCCTAGACCCAACTTCACAGCAACGCTTACCATATCAGTGAAGAATCTTCACAAGGCAGAATACACAGTATTCTAAGGTTAGCAAGGAAGTTTGATTTCTACACAAGTACCTAACAATGAAGAATTCTGTGCAGAACTGGTGTGTTAGCATTGTAAGCTCAGTACAAAGGTAGTGATAATGAAAGTGCAGAACTTTGTCGTTGTTGTGGTCAGCAAGTTCTGTTGTTTAAGTCCAAAGAATGCATCACTGATTTCCTGCACAGAGGAGGATTCTGGGAGATACCTTGCAAACAATATCTTCAGAGTTACAAGTGTGGCTAAGGAGGATCAGGTCCAGAAAATGCAGTTTTCTACAACAAAGCTCTGCACGTAAAATGTGGTGTTCCCCTTCTAGATGTCTGTTGAAAGGTCAAACCCCTGTATTCTCCTTTCCATTCACAACAAGCACACAAACAAACAAAAAAGAGAAGCAAGGCTAGACTGGGTTGTATTTATGTCACATGACATGTACCTGTTCCCGTTTAACATCTTTATCAAGGTCGAGTCGCAACAACACTTTGTTGACCTTCATGGCATAGGACAGTGCCATCAAGCCACCAGTTCGGACATCGTTTTCCCGCAGGTCCAGCCTGATCAGCTGCCAATTATCGGCTACATACTCAGCGAGAGCTACCGTACCTGGACATGAAAAAAAAAAACCAGTGAGCAATACTTAGTTGTTAAATCAGACTGTATGCGGCCTGGTCATGCCCTTAGCCAAGACGTGAGGGACCCAGCTTGGTACACAGTGCAGAGACCGTGGGGTTACTTTACTGCAGCATTGAGACTGAGGATTGAGAAAGTTTCCGGCAAGGGTTGACCGGTAGTAAATCTCACCTCTCCAATGAGTAATTTTCAGTTTTAGTTTTCTTGTAAAGATTATGGGCTATCCTGTGCATGTACATAGGTAGAGTTTCAGACAGCAAATACAACGGAATGTAAGGTTTCAGACACTAAATAGTTCAAGTTGAGCTGATTTTTCCAGAATTGTAATTTGTAAACTTCTTTTGGCTGAGGAACACAGGATTCCGAAAAAGATTTCTGACCACCAAGAACTCAGCTTTGTACAAACTAAAAAGAATCAACCATGCGTAACCCCATGAAAACTCTTTCTTAACCCCTACCAGAATGACAAAAAAATTTGTTCTCATCAATCCCTTCAATTTTCAATTCCTGAATTGAATGGCCAAGCTAGGGATACATTCAAGTAAACAGTACCGGTACTTTGAATACATATGCATATCACGAACAATGAAGGTACACCGGGTATATGTATTGTGCTACTGAATATGCCCCATAAAAATGCACTTGGAATTGCAAATTCTGCCCCCCGTAAAAAAAAAAAAAATCCATAGTCCATTTCATACAACAGTAGTATCAGCCAATCAGAACATAACATTGGCCAGATGGATGTTGCACACACAGCTGGATTGAAGAATTATTGGGGGACTGATATTTACTGAGTCACACAGAGTTGCACTCTGCTCAACGGCAGACTAAAAATAATCTAACTTTGACGTCACTGTCGCTGTCAGTCATTCTCAAAAATACTTCAGAACCACAGATGAATCGTGAATTTGCGAGAGTAAAAAATTACTCCAGAGGCCATAACCCCAAATGTAAATGTACATGTACAATCCTTGCTCAATCGACCGAAGACATATATGACAACTGACAAATTGAATTTACAAAAAATACTTCCATCCCGATATTGGAAATGCAATATTTCATGTGCTTTGCAATTCACCTGACAAAGCCGTGAATGAAAAATTACATGTGTTTATCCGGACCAAGTAATAGTCAGCTTTTGAAATTCTCTTCAGTGTACATTCGTCCCTTGTATTCTTAGACTGGCCATATGATAAAACTTTGAAAAGACATTTAGCCATTAGATGAGGATGAAAATTACGGCAAAAGCATTTTCCACTTTTATGTGTTCCAATCAACGTAACTGCACATATGCATTGTTAGACATCCCCAACTCATTATGCGGAAATGCATACAGATGGCAACAGGATGAGAAAATGATACCATTAGGCCTGATTCACTAGTCAGCCATCTTGAATTGAAAGCCACGTGATCCCTGTGAAAATTATCTAAAACTTCATGTGTGTTTGAACAAAGATTCCTCAATAGGGACATGCTATAGATACCCATCGATGTGTTCAAATGGTTAGATGTGAATTATGGATTAAAAGGTCGTGCCATGTTTTTTGCCAAAAAAACTCCAAATAATCTTTTTCAAAGTGACGCTATAGTTGCAATTACACCAAAATAGTCAGGCTTCTTCCAATTTCAGATCGTTCAAAGAATATAGTGGATTCGCAGAGCACAATCCAAAATGGGCATCTTGTGAATAAAGCCAAAGTATGAATTTAGATACATGAAGACTTTGGAAGGCTGGTGGGGTTATAAAAAGGAATTTATGTGTTACATAAAAAATTGGTCTCTGGTAATGTCTAAGTGCATGGTATTTTACTGGCAACCTGTTTTTCCGGAATTTCAAGCTCTGTCTTGAAAGTGTCCAGTTTTGACAGAACATGTCAGTTTTTCAAATCCTACCTACAGCACATGTATGTCACGTTTTCCTTGGCTTTCCAGCCGTATTTCATGGATACTAGACTAATTCAAGGTTAGCAGACTCATCGGATCTCACCTTGGTCACCAAACCTACAAGCGTACAGGCCAAGCCGCAGCAGCGATCGGTTCTTCATCAGGGCATCCTTGAGTATGTGCACACCATCATTGCCGAGGTTGTTTTGCCCAAGGTTTAATGTCTCAAGGCTCATCAGCATGGGCTGTGCAGAGCAAGGCAAAAGAACAATCACTCTCCACTAGATAGTTATCACAATGTGTACTGTTATGTCATTCTATACACTAATCCAAACAGATACTGCTGTGACACCTAAGCCGGCAGAACAAGTTACAAAGTGGGAGAGTCAGTTGTGAGACCATCAGACATCAGCTATTAATAGGCCGATCCATTAAGCCCCATTTATAGGATCTGCAAAATGTGGTGAAGGGGCCATGCCCCGTCAAGGGGGGGAGGACACTGGCCCCCCCTGCTTCTACCACTAGTGGGGACACTAAACTTATCCATTCATGCTTAAACTATGGCATACTCCTAATTGGTCAAAGAGGAATGTAATGCACGTACACCTGTCCGCGAGACGGTGCCACCGCAGCAATGGATTCTAGTTCCCGCCACTGGATAAGTCTATAGGCTCTGTAAATACAGATTACAGACGCCCTCTAGTGCCAAAATCCAACATTTGCCAATACACCATGGCGCATGCTTGCCATTTTGTGTCATTCGAGTGCTCTCCGTAACACGAGCATTATGGAACGGCACACACTGCTTGACAAAGGTTTCTGCACACTTTGGTTGGCAAGTCGGAGTATAAACCTTGCACCATTTGTGTCAGAAGCTTCCTAGGCCCAGGGAACTTACACTTAAAAAAATCAGCTTACCATGCAACCAAGACATTATGTGATGAACACAGCTCGAGCTTAAGTGGGTGACAAATGCATAACGTTTTTTTTTTACACTGTGCAAGATTCTTTTAAAGGCCTGCAACTCTAAAGTCACTCCTGTAACTTATGGCTCATTTTTATCAGTTTGAGTCACAAATGCTTTCAATTTTTCTGTGAAACCGTCTTCTAAATAGTACCAAACAAAGCTTAAAAGAAAACAATGATGATTTTTTGTTGGTTAAAAGAAACAACTGAGAAGACATATTCACTGTGTGGATTAAAATTTGTCTCTTTGATTGGTGCAGGAAATTCTACCTGAATTCCTATACCTTACCCCCCATCAAAGCCCAGCTTATACGAAAGGAACGCCCGTTTCCTGACTTCTTGGAAATTGAACTCTAGCTGCACTGATGATGGATGTTGAAGTTATCCAACATACATATCGAGATGTCTTTTATTCCTCGCATATCTAACCTGGGGCTTTCTTAAGTTCATCCGGTGATGGGGATTGGCTGAAACATGATCAATGATCAGTGTGGTCTAACAAAGGAGAATTGATCCAAATCAGTTTTCCCCACCATCATTCCAGCACACAGAGAGTAAGCAGGTTATTTTTAATTAAGCAACAGCTTCTATTATACAAGTGCAAAAACAATCTCTAACAGTAATGAAAAGTAGAAGGCTGCTTTCTTAATCTAAGCAAAAAAACCCACAGGTGGGAGATTTATAGCACAGGCAAGTTTTTCTTTCTTTTTTACACAATTTTCTTGATGTCTGTTCACAAAATGGATCTCTAACAGGTGAAGGCAATCCAGCTTCTATTCCTGTTTTCATGATGGTAATCCTAAAGCTTATGACATTTTTCAGGAGAAATTTCAGATGCAATGTACATGGAAATGTACTGGTACTCGTACATACATGTACATACCCTACACGTGGGAGCCAGTTAAGCCACCGGTAGTTGGGAAATACATGTATGACTGCGTGTGCCATGTCGGACATTTCTGCAAACTGTATTTCACATTGCAGAAGTAGTAAAAAGCACCAAAAGCCTCCACCTGCAGGAGGATTTTTCATACATCCTTGCTTAGTGTTCCAGCCGTCTGTTGCCATGGTTACCACATGGTGAATATTCACAAACTTCACTGTAATCCTGAGAAACTCTAGAATTGATTGCACGTTGAAAATTCTTCTCCAACTTAATATGCGTGGAAGCGAAGATGATGCAACAGAGGCAAATTATTAATTACCAGCCTTGTGCTCTGATCGTTAGTTCTAAACTTTGAATAAAAACATGTCATTTTACTATCCAAATCAAAAATATTATTCAAGGAAAGACAATGCCTATGATTACAGAGGTTTTTCAAGTGATGTAGCCTGAGATGGAAAAAGCATTCCAGGAAGCGTACCATGTCTGCGGATGCGCACGCATTTTCGAATCTGTGTATTTCTATTGGTAGTTTCGTGTACGCCACAATGTTGGGAGAATGGTGACCATCAAAATCATGCGTCTGAATATCCTCTACAGAAAGAAGGATCCTTTTCATTTCAGTTTTCAGTAAACAAAGTAGATTTGGAATGTACAGTCTAAATTACCCATCCTGTAAATAAAGTCTACCGTGAAGATCTTGCTACGCACAGACAATGCTGTCTACAATGCATGAATTCTTGGTTGACCTTTTTTATTTGAGAGTGGACATAAGGTCCTACTCAGCCTAAGACATATCTCGCGATATGTCTTAGGCTGAGTAGGACCTCATGTCCACTCTCAAACAGACAATGCTGTCTACAATGCATGAATTCTTGGTTGACTTTTTTCCTATGAAGCCTTTCTTTTCACACGGACGTGCTGAACCTGGCATTAAACCTTAATGTCTAACAACGGGAACTGGCCACTAAAAATTCCACACTTAAAAAAAACCTGACTGTAATGAATGCCATTATTCTCCTGCATAATTCCCACTCCTACAACTGCTTGCAAGCATAAGATCATTTGCATTACAGTTGGTGTGGCTTCAATGACTATCAGAAGACTGGGCCAGTACAAATAGGAGACATGGTCTTTAATGCTGACAGACACAAAGCAAAAAACCTCACGAAATATCCTTAACATACATGAAATATTGCAGACTCAAGACATTGATAAGAAGTCCAATTCTGTGGCAAGGCTGCCTTTTGCATGGAGAAGCTAGCACAGTTTAGCTTTGCTGTGTTGCAACTGCATATAGATCTGTCTTAGCACTGGAGCCGTAAGTATAAAAAAAACACAGCATGTTTGGCCAACGTCCATGCTTTTATGAGAGACACTTTGAGAAATTTGAGAGAGACTTTGGGAATTGGACTTATCCATGACTATGCTGCTTTGCTGTGGTACTGGTTTGTAAATGCCAAGTGCAAAAAGCATATTCTGTATGTGGCTGGGGTCCACACTTGTTGGATTCTATGGCTGGTACAACTGTTCAGTGTTGACTTTGTTGATTAAAATAAATGTTCCTGCCACTGTTTCCATGGCAAGAGGAAAAAGTGCAATAAGTACCACTGTAGCCTGGATATTGCGTGAGGGTTGTTGCCTGGGGGTGGTTGTCATGTACTCCTGCCCCCACCAGTCATTTCACATACACAGCCCTCTCCCCACCCCACCCCCCCCAAAGAAATATGGCAGAAGGATGAGTGATAATCAAAGTTTGATCTTAATCCTGAACTTGAGGCTGCGCCAAAGGGGTCTGATCGGTATCATAGAATCACTGCCTTGGTGAGAACTCCTGCAGTGATGTTGCTATAGACTACCGCAATGTCACCCATCAATTCCAGAATGGGGAAACACTTTGAAATTACTACTACAAACTTTAAAATGACCGCAATGCATAATATACATGTAGATAAAAAAAAATGGCAAGGATAAAATACATACTAGTGCTTTTGCCAGATGGGTCATTCCATTCTGGGTGAGTTGGTTGTTCCATAGTACCAATGTAGTTAGCTGCCCCTCCATCTGATCCAATAACCCATCACATAAATGGGATAGCCCAGCATCCTACGCAATAAAGAACAAATGCCAATAGGTATTAAAACAATCAGTGCAATCGACGGTAACAGATTTAATCCCATGTGTGTCTATTCTGGCTATCTCAGGCAATCCATTTCCTTAGTGACCCCCTCAGGAGTACTGTCCTGGTGGAGAGAGGCGGTATAACCACGGTGATGAGGCCTGATGAAGAGATGGCAGCATCTCCCCGTGCATCTTGAATTTAATCTGCTGTTCCATCCACCAGGCGCCTGGGGAGAGGATCACTTCTTGAAATCTTCCACAGAATGACTTGGAACATTGCAGACATCCACAGCGAGAAGGGCTCTCTGTGAAATTACTCGTCAGAGAATTATGGGTTCAATTTATAATCATAAATGATACATGCCCACTAATATAATGGCTATTGAATTTAACGCTGTTAAAACCCAACTGTTGACAGTTGTTTCAAAGCACACCCCTCGCTTTCCAGGGCGCAGTCTTAGGGTTGGAGTTAGGAAAGATGGCCATTTCACAGATTATCTCAGAGAATAAGTGGCTTCTTGAGATACCATGAAGGCGCTATTAAATTTCAATGCAATTTCCGCTGGAAATTTGCTGGGCCTTACCTGGATGTGATTGTTTCGGAGGTCTAGTAACTTGAGACCTCTGTTGTGCTTCAGCATGCTGCCTAGGTGTATGGCATCAGAGGGGATCAGTCTGTTCTCAGCCAGATATAGGTCTCGGACTGAGTTGTTCTGTTTTAGTGACATCACTGAGATAAAAAGGGGAAAAAAAGGAGTCCGGGGATAAGCTGATAAAAATGTCATTTTCGTCAATTACAATTATTTTTGGTTTATTACCCAGCATACTTTCAGAGGCAAATGCTGGTGAGACCAAAATGTTTACATACATGTATCACTTAATCATTTCGTATGTGGGGGGGGGGCCATGTCAATAAAAAACAAACCAAAAACATTTTCTTTAAAATTTGCTGACTGTCAGAGTTTCAAAATGCAGGAGCGCGGGTAGATACCAGCCAATGCCAGGGGACACTGTTAGGAATGTACTGATGAATACAGTGGACAAAGTAAATCTGACAACGGGTTACAATGCCCAATACTGACACCAACATAAACAGCCGGCAAGGACGACTCGGCTGAGGAAATAGACAAATGGCAGGTGACACACCCTCCCCTGGCAATATTGCTATGTCCACAACCGCTGAAGCAGACCAGCATTTTTTTTAAGGAAAGTGTTTGAAAACATTTTCTCCAGTGGAAAAATAGCCAAAAATTGTTAAAAATACAAAAAAACATAGTTCAGGTATTCGCCGTTACGGGGCTTTTAAAAACACAACGGTTTGTGCCAACTATTTCCTTTAACATTTGAGTAACTTGAAAAAAATGTCGCAAATCTGGACTTGATCAGGAGAGCTTATCGGCACGCAAACTCTAAACACTGAGCCAAATGGGATGACTGACCAGAAATTGCTAAAATCAGGAGAAGTTAGTGCGTTTAAGCATTTAAATACGCCTAAGGTAAGCATCCCACAGAGCAATCGCCAGCAAGGTTGTGTGGCTTTAAAGTACAGCAACGGACGTATGTTGAACATGTCTAACAGACACGAATGGAAGAAAAAATGAAGGCCGAAAGAAGAAACCCGATGCAACATTTTAGCAATTATTAAAGTAGAGAGAGTGTGTGTGCATTATGGATCATGTTGCACATGGAGACATTCAACAGGAAATGGATTCTGCCCGCTTCGTGGACGTCGTTGTGGCTGAGCAATTGAAGAGCACCGCATTCTGTGTCTCATCTGGGGAGGCACAGTGGTGAATCAATTCTAGTCTGTGCATGACTGACTGCGAGACACGTGTGTCACGTCCTGCGTTATCATTTGGCACACACAGCTCCCTCGGTGACTATGCAAAAAGTGAACAAAGACAGGACGATCCCACAATATCACCATATTTGTTACTCATGTTTCTTATATTTAAGGTTGGGACATAAAGAATAAATGCATGAGACAAAAAAAAATCTGAAGTAATTACCAGAAAAAAGAAACAGCAAATTTATGAATCAATTACATGAAAATCAAAAGAACTTCAAATTTCAAAGGAAAATTCGAATTATTAAACCAAATAACCAATTCAGATGCTGGTATGAGTGACCATTTCTAAAATGAGCTCAAATCCTACAAAATGTGTCACAAGATCATTTGTTCCCATATGATTTTGTTTTAGTTTGTATTAAAAGCAAACTGAACTCTTTGTTTTCATGTATCACTTAGTTTGAAATCCTGAAGAAAATGGGCACAGCGCAGGCGAAAAAGTTGAGGATTCTATAGATTTGCATTGTTCACGATTCGTTTAAAAGCTTTTGACTCAAAAAGTGGTTCTGACAACATGCGACTCATTTTGTCAGACTGGGTAACAAATGACGAACCCACCAACCGTCAACTCAATATACAAACAATCCAACCAACAAACAGTCTTACACAGCAAGAAGAGTGGTCGGCCTGAGATATTGCAGCCTTCCATGTGGAGCGCTGATAGCGTGATGTCCGCCCGCAGGGCCCTGGCTAGCATGGGCATGCTATACTCCGTCCAATTAGTGTTCCGAATGTCCAGACATTCTAAGGAGGAGACCTGAACACAAGCCAATGAACAAGAGAAAATGAATGTGAAAGTTGACTTCTGGGTGACGTACATGTGAAGGGCTTGGTCAACTCCAATCGTAGAATGTTTGAACAAATTTCCATTTTGACAGTTTAGGGAGTCAGGTTGATTTTTTTAACGATCGTGTTTTACAAAATGTGGAACTTAATCTGATGGAGTTTTGTGGTTTCTTTATGTGTGACTACTGTGACGATTTGCCTTCTTCTTCAAGAAGATTTTTGATCATTTTGTTAGCACTCCTTGAATCCATGATGGCGGCTACAACGTGGACACGACTTCTGCTGGTCATACACACCTCACAGCATACCAGTTTATCAAGATGTGTGAGTACTTTATCGAATCAAGTTCTAATGCTTGTGAATAAGTTGACTCTTTGACCATGGCTGACAACTTTTCAAGCTTTTCCCTACCCTGGGTTGTTTCACTTCTACCGATTAACACATGTGTTCATGTTAAAATTACATCCAGCTGTCATCAAAAAATTTCTCTTGTGAGATGGAATAAACATGGCTGCACATGTATACAACTAGCTGGGCCAAACACTCCACTGGATCTCACAGTTTGAGTTGATAGTTCTCCGAACCCTGGACTGGAAGGTAGTAGTGAAATCGAACGCGACAGATCATAAATATCATCCAATTCAAAGAATACGAAACGGATAACATATTCACGGCATCAACTGTTTTCTCACTGTTGTGCTCGCCCTGACCATCACATTCTTGGGATACTCAAGAGGAATGCCCTCTTGAGATACAGAGGAAAGAGAGCTGGTCGTCATGACAGGACAACTTACTCATGTTGTGGGCATCAGCATCGCCCAATTGCTACCTTAAAGGAAGCTCGACGATTGAATACTAAGCCTAACTCTTGTCCAATTGACAGATCTTTGTTAATTAATATCCAAACGGCACAAGTTCTACCTTCATCTTCGGGGCCATTTTATGAAGACCCAGACATTTGGACCATCAGAAGTCCTGACCTCAATGACCAACCTGACAAACATCTGATGGCCTTGGCACCATCCGACATCAGGTACATCAAAGGTATCAAGATCTTACACTTGAATACTCAATCTCTGTCCAACAAACTTGATGAGATACGCTTGCTTGCGGTGGAGAGCAACCCTGACATTTTGGGGATCTCAGAAACATGGCTCCATGATGAGATTGATGACTCGGAGATACCGGTACACATACCAAACTTCAGTTTACTACTGAGGGATAGAGAAGACAGCCATGGTGGTGTGGCAATGTATGTCAACGACAGATAACCTGTAGATCCAATTAATCTGCCAGGTTATCAGCATACAAAAGTTGAAATCTTATGGGTTAAACTGAATCTACCGCATGCTCATCCTATTTACACCGGAATTGTTTATGGACCAAATGTCTGTAACCAGTTTGTCGACAAACTGGAGGCTGTGCTGGACGAGATTATGGAACAGTGCAGAATCAAGATCATTGGGAGAAATTATCTGCGTTGAGGACTTTAATTGTGATGCTCTCAAACACAGTGACTGGCAGTGGAAGAAACTTCATGGATTAATGTCAGTAAGGCATTTATCACAGATCATTTCAAAACCTACCAGGATTACTGACAATTCAGAAACACTGATTGATCATGTCTGGACCACCAATCCCAATATGTACGTATATAATGGTGTTTTAGCATCAGTTATTAGTAACTTCTCACTAGTTTATGCTGTTTGCAAAGCACTGTTTTTTCCGAAGGGTCCTGCTTGTATTATTAGGGTTAGGTCATATTGATCTCTCAATGAAATGAACCTTGCTAATGATCTGGGGTTAATCTCTTGGGCAGATGTTTGAAATGCTGCAAGTTTTGGCACAGCAAGGATATTTTTTTAGGAAACTCTCGACAGAATCTGTGAAAAACATGCTCCTTTTAAACAATTTAAAATCCTGAATAGGAGTCCTGACTGGTTCAACAATGAGTATCTTGTCTTAGGGAAACAGTTAGCACAAATTACATCTCGAGCCCAATTTACTAGATCTCGAATTGATTTGGCTGCTTTCCATCACATGAGATACAGAGTTAACAATCTAGCTTAAAGGCTGAAGCATGAATTTTATGAGACGACAATCAACCATGCAGGTTCTGATTCTAAAAACTTTGGAAGGCGATAAAAACCGGGAGAAAAAGCCAATAAATGTGTGGGTGTTCTCCTGAGGATCAGATGTGTTCTCCCACAACATACATGTACTTCAAGTCGGTTGTACAAAAATTGATCCTGTCTCATTTTGACTATTGTGATGCTGTTTGGGGAAATTCCTCGAAACTAGCCCTCAACAGATAAAATTCAGAATAGTGCTGGTTGACTCATCCTCAGTCTTTCATGGAGAACCCCTACGGAGCTTGCTCTATCTACACCAGAGAGGGATACTTCAGAAGACGTACTTTCCATTTAAATACATTGGTCTATAAAAGTCTAACCATGGACTGCCACCACAACTATGCAATGGTTTCATTCATACAACTGATGCGCATCATTATAATACTCGGTCAGGCTCTTATGGTACCGTTGTCCTTCAATTCAGTAAATTGAACTCAAGTAAATGCAGATGCATTGTTCATGGAGCCTACGCATTCAATGCATTGCCCATGTCTCTCACAAGCCCACTGCTTGTGACTCTATCAAGTTTTGAACACACCGACAGATCCTTGTTGTTTTAGTGCTTGTTTGTGTGTTTCGTAATTTGTTGTTGGTGCTTTAGAAATTAGCTATTATTGATTTTCTAAATATGTGTGCACGGCTGGTACATGGAGTTTAATTGTTGGTATCTTAAGTAGTACTGTTTTTTTTTTTTTAGACAGATATTTCGATGGTTTAACCTATTTTATTGTAACAGCTGGGCACCTCTGGAAATCTGAAAAGGTTCCCCAGGATAAATAAGTAATAAATAAAAATAAATAAATAAATAAATGTTGATAGGGTTTTCAGTCCCTACCTTATTCCGCAGGCTTTACCCAGAATATTCCTCTGGGCTTTTCCTCCTACCTCTGAAACTCTAACCTCTCCTCACAGTCAGGTTTCTTCAGCCTTTCAAGCTACAGTAGCTACATGCAAAATACATTTGAGGAATTACTGGTTTCATTATACTGCCAGTAAAAGTTAACAACAATACTAAAGATAATGATTAATGTTAACCCTAACACTCCTCAGTCCTCCAACAGGTGAAGGATTGAGGAGGGGTTAGGGTTAATTGAAGAAATAATGCCTTTATAACATGGTCAACAAAGCTGTCAGAAAAGGCATAACACGCATGCAAATACAAGATATTATCATCTTAATACCTTGCTAACTTCTCACTAAGAAGATATTTCACAGGTGAGAAAATTAACCTTGCAAGTTAACAAAAGTTCTGGCTGAAAAAAAATACATCGACCGATATGCATGTATAAAACCCTGGAATAAAAATTTGGTCCACAGTATTTCATTTCTGAACCTAAATTAATAAAAGACGGCACCTGATATCATTTTGAAAAAAAAACCCGTTATAATCCACCCAGGCAAAAACAGATTCCCACACAAACATGTTTATATTGAAGACTTGTACTACAAAAGGTCAGCATAACCTCCACCTATATGTGATTTTTATCACTAATGAAAGCTGAGCTCTGTCCCACATGTCCTCAGTTCTTCCGCAGGTTGGCAATAACTACAGCAAGAACAGATCACTCAATCTCAGCCAATTGGCCTCTGGCAGCAGCCACTGTGAAGACGCTGTAGTTGGAGATCACTATGGGAAAACCTAGACCCAAATTCGTGGCTCTGCTTACAGTAAGCAAAAACTCATCACAAACTATACCAGAAAATTCGGAGTTATCAGTGAGCATGTTTCACAGGTTAACAAAGAAATCTGTATACATATTTACATGTACATGTACATGAATGTGTAAATCCCATTACTAAAGATCGAGTGCTAAATTGTGGAACTTTTGCTAGAACTGTGAAGTATACAATATTGATCGTAAGCACAAAACTCTATGGGCCTTGTCTAAGGACGGGCTGCAGGCATGGTTGTGTAAGGCTGTGTTCAAAAGGCTGTGGCTGTGACTAGAAATGACACATGTTAATGGAAGCCACTAGCTGCAGACACTTCCAATGGACACCTGGTTATGCTACTTGCATGTACTCTCCTCTGAAGTCACATGACTGGGGATGCTGGAACAACATACACTGTACATGAAGCCTAGAATGACTCCTGACAATCTGAAAAGGCTGTCTTTGCTGATTAAAGACAAGTTGTCAGCACTGCCCACATACATGATGAAGCTTTCATCACAAACATGCATTCATGTTTGCTTTTGCTCCAGGTGTGAACTACATATTACCTTAATTCAAATTTGGTTCTAAACTTCAGTTCAAATATTGCGAGAGCATGGCACACACTGCTTATTTCCCAATGGTCTCTCACCTGTCACTTGATATGACTGATGATGTACATGTAAGCACACAAATGCACCATCCTTCATTAAGCCCTGATACTTTCAGTCATGTGAATCTATGCATTTCATGGCTTGATAATTAACTGTATTCCCTACGGACTCATATTTGCAAGTATTTACATGTATGCATTTTTCCGTGCAACACTGCATTTGTGAACGCATGCATTCTTGAACTTGAGGCCAGTGCGCATTTTGGGCAAGTCACAGTGCCTTATTGGTCAACACATGCAAATTTAGCTGCAAAGTTTTTGTGACGTCAAATTCATTTTGCATTCACCTGCAGCAAGAATCACGTAAGCACATGTCAGCGTTGCTCCCGATTTCAGTATTTACTGTTCAAAAGGGCAATGGACACAAACAGGATTTTCCCCTGGTACTTTCGTTTTCAATTCTCAGTAAGAACAATAAAATTCAAGGCCACAAATGACAACATGGTTTGCCTGGATGTCCTTCATATAGAGGCTATGCATTAATACAGTACATCTTCAGAGGGCAAGAGGTTTGTATCACTAGGACAGATTCCAGTGAACCTTTTGTGCATTCATTATTCATTCATTGTAATTAAATTAACATGACAAAAACAGCCCCTATGATTCACCTGTTTCGTTATTTGTTTTTACGCACTACCTGCATAAACCCTTTTCTGTTAGAAACAAGTCCCACTCTCGTATTAATGTCCATCATTTTAATAATCATTATCAGTTCTTATATAGCGCGTATTACGGAATGTCTCTGTGCGTTTATCACCGTCATCCCTGCACATTGGGCTAAAATCCTCTGCGCATCCCTGAGACCATCTCAGTTCCCTGGGGAGTATACCAGCCCGATGCTAGTCATTTTGGCGCAAACAGCTAAACATTTACCGTGTCTGCCCTCCCAGGTACCCATTTACTCCTAGGTGGAGAGAGGCACATAGGGGTAAAGTGACTTGCCCAAGATCACAACATGCTGCCACCAGCTGGATTCGAACCCCTGACACTATGATAAGAAGCAACAAACTCTAACCACTAGGCCACATTGTCCCCAGTAGTGCCCAAAGAGCCTGCCACTGATTGTGCAGTGCAATCTTAGATTGGTTTCCATTCCTACATTATATTCCTCTATCTAACTGGGAATGAATATACATGTACATGTATGAAACAAGCGTGGGAACCAGTCAAGTGAAATGAAGTTCTATTCAATTGGTAACATTGAAAAGAACCAATAGTAATTTTTTGACACATGACCATGAAATCCACCGATCAGATGACAGGGATTTATGCAGGTATTGTGCAAGTAACAATATTTACATAGTACTGCTGGATATAAAGTAATTTCACTCAACACTGAATAAGTCCCATCGTCTGACAGGTGGACCATTGATGGTGTGTCATGGAATTTTACATGATGCCCCAAAGACTTAAAACAGAAGAGCCATTCCATGGTAATGGAACTTCCATTCCATGGTAAATGGATATTTAACTGTGGCATGGTCAAACTGCTGGTGATGTTACTTTGTTACTCTTCACACTAAAACACCTTTTTTGCTGATGCTTATGGTGCCAATGCAACACACTAAATGTACATGTACACAATTAATGAATTACTGGGGTGTCTAAATCAAATAATCTTTCACATCCATGTAACGGTAAGAATAATTTAATTGGAGATAGAACATTATTTCAATGTGTAATGTCACAAAATCGTTCTTCCAACTGCACCAAACAACATTTATGACATGCACTAGTATGCAGTTCTACATTGAAATGTTTCAGGGAACAACTTGTTATTTTCAGCTAACAATCTAGACATAATTAGACATTTTTTGCACAGAAAATGCTGACTTTATTGACAACTTGAGTTGCAAAAGTCATTGTAACAAAACTGTAAAGTCGAGAAAAGAAAACAGGAGGGAGGGAAGTGAAAAGTCTGTAAAAAAGCCAACTGTATCAAAGATTTCTAGGAAAAAAATGAAAATTGAAGAACAAAACAAAAGATATGAAGTATAGTGCAATGACTCTTTCTGAACAACTGCACTTGCTGGTGAGAAAATGCAAATGCTAAATGGTCACACATTAGCAAAACTGAGCTTAGTGTTTCTATCATACGCTCACAGGTAAAGTTTAACAGGATATTTTACTCAGTAGGAAAAAAAATGTGGAAAAACGTCCCTGCAGTCCTCCAAGAGCACAATCGTGTGTTATGGGAAAAATAGGAAATGAAAGGAGAAACAAAGTCTGAAATCCTTTTAAAATAGGAAAATATTATGCTTGTTTTAAATTTGGAAAGGCTTTAACTTTTGCAGTTTTGCTCTGGTTTTTGTTAAGTCTTCCTTGATGCATGAGCACTACAAAGGAACCAGAAAACAGGTTTGCTATGTCCCTTGAAGCTCTATTGCACACAAATAATCAGTACCCTGGGATCCCCCCAATGCAGACGTCACACACTATTTACTCGGAGCCGACTCACAGGATGTGCCATAATGTACAGAAACCGAGCCGGTAACCAGCACTCAAGCACTTCGTGGAGAGGCGGGTGAAAGGAACCTGACTCGGGATCTGGCCACGACTCAAGCATTAATGCGCACGCAGGGCCCGTCTCTGGTGACAGGACCGGCTGGCACGAAATCCCACTGTAAACATACTTTGTAACATGAGCGAAATGCGTAATTTATTACTTGAGTTGCTTTGACTTAAACGGGCACTGTCCTCACCAGATCAGATGGCAGGAGGGTGAAACATTAGTCAAACAATGTCTTGAAGGTTGAAGGGGGAGAGAATGTATACATGTACATGTAACAAAGGCCATTTTGTTCATGTTTTATTTTCATTATGATTATGAGCAACAATGAAGAACACAATAAAGAAATTTCGGTTTTAGAGGTGGGAAGAAAACGGATAAACGTTCCAGGCAAAGAACACAGAATCAGATAGGGACTGAAACCCAAATCCACATGCTAACTTAGAGGGGATTTGAACCCTAAATCACAGAGGTTGTTCTAACACAAGGTAGAGGGGACAGATTGGGTGGATTGTTTGGAACCAAGATTTCGCCCCCCAACCTTTGACTTACACCCCTAAATTCTTCAGTTCTAAACCAACTGTGAATCATCGTCCATGCCATCATTTCTCGTCTTGAATAATAAATGGACATCATCGGGCGACATACTTCTTTTGAATCCATGGATAACACCTTCCACTGATGACCTTTGGCAAGTATCAAAACGTAAAGGATCCATTTGTGAAAAACAATTGAGCAAAAGAAGAAATAAAGGGAAAAAAATCTCTTGAAGGCTACTGGCTAGCAAACTGGCAGGAAATTCTCCCATTGATTATTGAGGCTTAACTGCCTCCATGCCAATGTCTTGGAGTAAAACTTCTCCCGTCTCTTGCTCTTTGACTTGGCGTGTCTCAAGGACATGAATTGGATACTCTGGCGGGTTTTTCTTGATAAGGGCTGTCTGAGCCGAGTAGCCATGTCAAGCCTCCTACTTGGGGATTCCAGACATGTTGGACAGTTGGCTGATGGGGCGTGTTCATCTAATCACTGCCTGGGAGGCCATATTTTTAGCCCCGGTTGAAATGGGGCAAATAAGCCACTGACGTTACATGTACAGTATGTCACTCTGTGGCAATGAAATGGAGGAGACAGAAATTAGATACTTCTCTGAATTGATAGGAATGCTATTCGGAGTCGAAATATAGTACTGTTCTGAATGATTACCTCCTTGTCTGCATATTACATTTCTTGGAAGGGGTTTTGTTATGGCAGATGATCTTCTTTAAAAATTCCGTAATCTTTCAACCAGTAGTCTGTGTACATTTTTGTGATAAAAATCCCCAAAACAGAAAAAAAATCACTCCTGTGCAGTAAGTCAGCAGCACAGACTTTAAATAAACTTTAAATATCCAGGAATTAGAGTAGAGTTTGGCCCAGAGTTAAAGTAAAACAGTGCCAAAACCGTATTTCTGCAAGAAAACAGACTTTTTTTTACATGTGCGTGCGTAGAACATAATTCAAATAATCTGCTTTAATAATGCAATGTGAGTAAGATAGGTGCTGAGAATAACATCTGACAAACCGTCATGGCATAAACTGAGCGTAGCATACACCAGACTGTTTGCTGTTTAAGCCAAGTTAAATGAGATGCTCATGTTATTATAGCCTGTGATTTCTGTCTGTTGGTGTAATGACTTTGACAATGTACTGGTATTTGTGCTGGATACCAACTCAACTGGAAACAGACATACTAACAGTTCCAGCTGTCTGCAGGTTTGTATACAAGCATGGATGTGTACGTCTGCCAGGCTTTAGTTTGCATCAAACTTTTGGATGACTGTGTCTACAACTACAGAGGGTTTGCATGGCTGCCATCTTGAAGGGCCAGTGCTTTTGTTCCATAGGGAATGCACAAAATAGGTTTCCCTGTGGATCAAAAAGAACGGCCCTGCAAGATGGCTACCATGCAAAGCCTCAACTGGGATGGACTTGAATATGCTGTTCTGTCATGGTAGAACTTCCCTGCAGTCTCTGTTAACTTTGCCCATTGCCTGCCTAATGCATACTGGTACCTGTCCAGATTGTTGTCTGACCAACAAGCCCTACTGAAGTAATGCCCATTGGATAAGACGCAAGAGATGAAAAACAAAAATAATCAGGAACTGATGATGCTGATATCTGAGCAATAATCACAGTGCACTGTGGCATTTTTGAGCCCTGGACTTCCGCAAGATTCATTCCTCCCATAAAAACAGAAAAGAAAACAGCAAAGTGACTGGGAATTTTATTTACCCTTTTAAGGAGCCGAGATGCGGCCTGCCAGCCTCTAGCACCGATGGATCGATTGGATGCTAATACCAGCCTGATAGCAGACTCGTAGAATTCCAGCATGTCAAACAGAGCAACTGCTGCCTGGATATTAGACACAGACCAAAAAAAAAAGAGTCAAAATAAGACTGCTTTACGTCACCTTTCAAGGCATTTAGGAAGGTCGAGGCTAAATTTTGAATGCTTTTACATGTACATGCTTTTGGTAGGCAGGGTAGTAAAAAGTTCCAAAAGTTGCCTTTTCTCGTTATTTTTCAGAAACTAAATTGGTATTTGCACAGGAGTTTGGGGGTTGGGAGGTGGAGTGGGAGAGACATGGCCTCCGGATGCCCCAAATCTAATACTTTACTCTGCCGAGATAAATTACATGTAAATCCAATTTGCCTCCTGAGTAAACTACATGATAAA